GTGTAAGTCAAACAATCAACAAACTAACAATATTACTCACATTATTCAATCATTAGATCTACGCAAGACACTTGTGGTGGGTCCAATCAACAAGACAGCTATAATCAAGACCAAGAACCCAATTGAGGAGTCTTGCAACTTCATGTGTGCAATCAACTATGATGGCAAGATGTGGATTTCACAGCGAACGTCGACGAATGACGCCCATGACTTTGGCCTCTTTGTAAAGGATCTGGTCAAGAATGGTGCACTGTCAGCAAACAAATTCCTGATTATTGACAATTCACCAATTCATGGTGGCGCATATCTCCACGAGCTGTATCAGACAGTGGAGTCAGTTGGTGCCAAGCTAATCTTTTTGCCTAAGTATTCGCCAGAGCTAAACCCAATCGAGCTAGTGTTTGCCTTTGTCAAGAACAATCTRCGACATCGGCAAATTGACAACTTCCATTTGGCCATCATTGAAGCGTTCCAGCAAATAACATTGGAGTACACCAGGAATATTTACCGGCACTGTCTCCACCCTGGCGATAAAAAGAAAAATGATAAATAAATAGTTAAATGTGGATTCATGGCAATATGAATTTATTCAAATATTATTTATTAATTTATTATCAATTCATTCCATTCCACCAATCCAAAAGTGAACTTTCAAACTTCATAATTCAAAATTCAAAACTTTGTCACGAACTTGAATCAGGAGGACAATATCTCCCCCAAAAAACCAACTTGGATTTTTGGACTGGATTTTGGAATTTGACTTTTCAACAACTCGAGAACTGAATTTGCAACCCAAATTCAGCCGATCAACCCAGGTGCCAAAAACTTTTGAAATTCAAGTTTGAGACTTGGTGATCAATGTTGACTAAGAGGTGATGATGGTGGTTTGGGTGAGGGTGGGTTTGCAAACTAATATTTTAATCCCAACTCTAGCTAAAGTTATCAAACTCACTTTGCACAATTTAATTATTTAAACTCTCTCATTCTCTCATTCATTCAATCAATCAAACTCTTTTGTATAATAATAATAATACTAATATTATATATATTTACTTCATTTAATCACATATTTAACAAACATGTCTATGTATCCTCGTTTCCCAACTATTATGAGGTTGGTGTCTAGTACACCCACTGCATCAGTGTTTGAAAGGAATGGGATGAACTTTATTAATAATTATATTCCAAAGGGCTTCGGACCTGGTTTCAACATATGGATCAAGGACAGTCCGGGAATCCTGCCAGATAAGTTCCGTTTCTTCAACTTCCCATACTCAAATGAAGCCGAATTTATTCAACTTGTTGCCGCCAGTAATAGAAGTTGTGGATTTATCAAGATTGGTACAATGGTCCTTGTTATCAACATTGGTGCAATGTCTACAACCCCCTCCCCCGCCCTTTGCCAAGCCTTTGGAACTCTTGGATGCTCACAGATCTACCCTGCCGGTACCTCTGGAGCCACCAACTATTGTATGATTGGGTACAAAGGACAAGCACCAGGATCAGCCCAAGAGTCATTTGGTGATGGATCAACTGGTAATGTGACAGTGACCGGTACCTACCAGAACTTCTATGATTGTACCCGTGTCCTTGGATTCAGTTACAATGCTACAACAAGCAATCCTATTGGCAACTTGGATATCATGTTGGGCAACATTCCCATCTTACCAAACTCCTTCAAACCTTTGGGCGATGGAATCAATGTTGTCACTCTCAACAGTACTCTCTGTCTACAATACAAACAACAACAAATAACAAACTTCCCAACGATGAACTATGATGCCAATGTCTCCAAAGCCCTCGCCCAGTACATTGATTCCATTGCCAAGGGTACAGTAGTGATGATCGTTGCTCGTGGATTGAACCTATCCAAGACAAGTCTCAACTCTGATGCCATTCAGAGTCTTCAAAGATTGGGCAGTAAGTGCATCCTGAACTTCAAACAAAATGACTCAAACGATTGTTGGTTCATGTTTTTGAAGAAGGGCACTCCATCGATCTATACTGAGATGGCATTCAATCATTCATCACCATGCACTGCCTCAATCCATTACAACTTGATCAACAATGAGTTGATCACTCAGAATAAGACAGTGAGTGATGATGACATCAACATCTACGTTGCAACATCCAATCCCATATATGCTCCCATTGGTATTCAGAACTTCATCATCACAGTTGGAGGTGTGCCCGTCACATTCCAAAGCAATGCAGGTCTGCTGATGTGTGCAATCAGTGAGGTCGATGGCAAATTGTACTTTGCTCGTAACTATGATGTCAGAAGTACATCGGTCAATAGCACGCTTCAAATGATCGCTGACATCATGTCCATCTCAGTTGGTACACTGGTTGTCATCTGCACAGGAGTCCTAAGTCAAGACTTTGCCATCTCAGACAACCTTGCATTCGCAATGACCACATGTGGCAGCAAAGTGACGGTCAACCCAATGACCTCATCATCGTCATCTGCATTGATTGGGCGGAAGGGAGCACCATCAGGCTCAGTACCCGAGATCCTCTCATTCACAGGACCAGTCTCACTCTTATCAAACTTCAAGAGACAATTCAAACCTGTCAAGCCATACGTCCACATCAAGGCTGCATCCAATGCTGTATGTATCCACATTCGATCAACCAATCATTCATTCATTCGATCAATCTCTAACATAACCTCTCAATCAATCAATCAGACACCATCAGTTGCACCAGACCCTTCATACATCTTCACCAATGGACTACCTATCTCTGGTACTTTTGGACCTGGTTTGAATGTTGTGGCCATCAATCCAATCAACGGAACAGTGATATCTTCAAACAACTATGACACCACTGATGCCGCTTCCCAACCTCGACCAAGTGGCAAGTTCACCACTGATATCACTGCCCTGCCACAAGGTACCATCGTAGCCTTGTCCACACTTGGGTCTGCGGGTACCTACCTTGGCACTGCCCGAGACACCATCACCAACTACCTTGGTTCCAAGATGATGACATCTTTCACCTCCAATCAATCATATTGTATCGTCTCAACGGTTGGTCTCAACCTCACAGGTGATACGAGAGTGATGAGTGAGTGTATTGCGCCAACCAGTTCATACACATCATGTGACTTTCGATTCCCGTTGAAGTCACTCTACACAAACACTGGTCTGACCTTCTGTGTCACATCTGGACAACAGAGTCGCATCATGGTCAACAATCAATCGGCCCTGCCCACCACAACGAACGGAATCAACTTAGTCACGGTCGATCCCGTCAGCGGAGCCGCCAGTCCATACTATTTCAACACATCTGGATCGGTTGCACAATGGCAGGTGTTGTACAACTTCATCCAAGCACTCCCAGTTGGTCAGTTTGTCTTGATCTCTGTTCAACAATCGATGGGAACACCAACAACACCTCAATCCAAGCGATACCAGATGATGGCTTTGACAATGATTGGTGCATGTCAGTTTATCTGTGTTGGACCAGAGTCCACTTACTCTGTGATTGGCACTCGTGGAGCATGTCCTGGATCAGCATTCGAATCATTCAATGGCAAGAGTATCCAGGTGTGTGTTGGATCATGGGAGCCAAAGACACCGACATCATTGGTTGGCAGCTCTCAGTATGGAATGATGCCCTTTGAGGCACCAACCTTCGCCGTGCCTGGGTTGACCAACATGTATCAACACGAATCACCAATGGCAATCATCCCAAGCAACAAAGCATTTGGCAACATCTTCAGAGCTGAGCCAGCATACAATGGGACACTTCTTCACCCAGCTGGTCGTGTCACCAAGGCTCTCTTGGTGGGTTTGTCATACTACAACACAGTTGAACAACCCAGTCAAGGCATCGAGTTTCAAATCCAAGAACATGCTCGCGCGCTGGTCCAAGGTGGATATGTCTTGCCACAGAACATCCGTATGCTCACTGAGGGTTTGACAGAGGTCTCCAACGATGGAACATATGTCAACGGACCATCATGGCTGTGCATCAAGAATGAGATTATCAACTGGTTGGTGGCGGGCGCACAGGCTGGTGACACACTCTACTTTGTGTTCCTCGGTCGTGGCTTCTCGAGCGACACCTACCCATTTGGATTGGTCACCATGAACAAAGACTTCACTGCAGCCGACTACACCAATTTGACCATCGATGACTTCAAGTTCTGTTTCTCCTCACTGGCCGCTGGCGTCAACCTCACATTGTTGTTGGATTGCTCATACTCATCGGACATAGTGTCAACGTGGTCACCAGGCATCCTGACCCAGACCTCAGGACTGTTTGCCACATCCCCATACAACATACTCACGCCATCAACTCAACAATCGATTGGACTTACACCAATGGTCACTCGCATCCTCAAAGAGAGTGGATCAACTCAGTTGACTTATAATCAGATCATGACGCAAGTGCAGGCAGAGATGTATATTCGTGGAACACCGACGTTGCTCAATGGCGGAGATAAAGTGTTCTTGAGTAATACATCAACACTACAGATCCATCAACATCAATCAACATCTGGCGATGAGTACCAATACCGTTACACGACCGACACCAACACGTCGTACCCATGTATGAACATTCAACCTCGTTGGAACGTTTGGGGATTGGATAGTGGAGTTGGAGTCCCATTGTACCAGTTCTCAACCGATCATACTGGTGATGGATCGAGCAGATACTATTTGTCACTGAACAAACATGAACCTGATTGGACATTGATTGGTGTAGTCGGTCATGTGTCACCAGTGCAGACCACCAATTGCAACAAACCAATCCATCGATATAGTTGCAAATCATCAGTCAACAATGCCAACCTGTTTGCATTTGATTCAGAGGCACCTCGCACACATGGCCGAGGTAATCAAGTATGGGTGGACAATGGTGTTGTGTTCTACGCAATCGATCCTGCCCATTTGGAGACGGAGAAACCGATTGAATATCCTAGTGCGAGGATCACCTCAATGATGGGGTATTGCGATGATGAAGATGACAACTCTGATAGTACTGGAGATCAACATGATATGTCAGTGAATGAGAGTACTGATTCATCATCAATGGATACATCAGACGAAACAGATTCGTTTGTAGTTGGATCCGATTCAAACAACAACAATGATACCATTATGCATCAGGACAAGATTGAACAACTTCAGAGACAAATTGATGAGTTGAAGAGGTCTCTCCTTGCAGCAAATAATCCAATGAAGTAATAAACTTATCTTAAATATGTATTAATATCAAATTGGGGCCAACGGGGAGGAGAACATCGCTGAAGTTGAGTTTTCTTCAACTTTGAAACTCAAAAAAAAAATAAACCAAAAGAACTGCGCATGCCGAGAATCGAACTCGGATCGCTTCCGTGGCAGGGAAACATTCTACCATTGGACCACATGCGCTTGATGTTACTGGAAACAGTTTTCAACGGTTTTATACCCTAATTACTTTTTTAAATATATCATTCATAAAACTTCAATCAATAATTAAAGGATTTATTTTTCCATCAACTTATATTATTATTGTATTGATAAAAATAATAATGATAAATAGTTGAAATATCACCTCATTATTATTTGAGTGTGTTTGATTGGTGGTGGTTGTAGTCTTGATTATTTAGTGTTGTCTTACCACTCTCAGATTATGATTGTCATTATCCGACGATGTAGTTTGGACGTTAATGTCTCAATATTCATCTAATCATATATGTCATTGCCAACTATCGTGTTCCTTCATCAATCTATTAATCTTTGTCATTATATCAACACAAACAAAATTGTAGTTGAAATTATTTAATAATATATTTTAATAATAATGAGGAAATTGAATGTACAAGATAATAGAGAGTCGGAGAAGATATTCACATCATCGATCGATGTCTTGAAGAACCTATACAGCTCAAAGATACGTCCACTGGAAGTTCTAACAAAGTATGACTGGTAGTTGAATGGTATAAGATCAAGAATAAATAACAATACTAATAATCAATCAACTAGGTTCGGTGAGTTCCACTCGCCAACATTGACCGACAGTGATATAGAAGCAAAGCCAATGGTGCTGTTATTGGGTCAGTACTCAACTGGAAAGGTTTGTCATTATTTCATTCTTTCAACAATTCGATCATAGATAGATACTAATATTTGTTGTTATAATGTAAATAGACAACATTCATTCAATATCTCATTGAGAGAGACTTTCCTGGAAGTAACATAGGTCCTGAGCCAACGGTATGTAGAACATGTTGGTGAAGAGTATCTGGAAGAATTAGTAATGATCCTAACCATCCATCACATCAAAGACTGATCGATTCAATGCTGTTATGTATGGAGCTGATGATAGAGTCGTACCAGGTAACACCGCCTGTGTCCAAGAAGACAAACCATTCAAAGGATTGGAGAGATTCGGCACAGGCTTCATGGGCAAGTTCCAATGTTCATTGGTATGTTGTTGAACCAGATTGATTGAATGATTGAATGATTGTGATTACTAATTGAATGAATGAACGATCGAACTACACTAGTGCAATGCCCCATTGCTAGAGAAGATAAGCTTCATTGATACACCTGGTGTATTGAGTGGAGAGAAGCAAAGAATAGGTCGTGCATATGACTTCCCAAGCATTGTATCATGGTTCGCAGATCGTGCAGATATGATCTTGTTGTTGTTTGACGCTCATAAGTTGGATATCAGTGATGAGTTCAAGTCAGCCATTGAGCAGCTCAAGGGTCATGATGACAAGATAAAGATCGTGTTGAACAAGGCAGACAAGGTCAGCAGCCAACAACTACTACGTGTCTATGGTGCGTTGATGTGGTCGTTAGGCAAGGTCATCAAGACTCCCGAGGTGATGAGAGTCTACCTTGGATCATTCTGGAATGGCTCGCCACTCCAGAATCCAGACACCGAGAAGCTGCTTCACTCAGAGATGGTAGACCTTATCAAGGAGCTATTGGCACTCCCCAAGAATGCTGCCATTCGCAAGGTATGTTCATAGACCTCGGCCGGACATGATCAATCAATCGCTAACTCAACGACAACACTCACCTAGGTCAATGACTTGGTCAAGAGAGCAAGAGCAGCCAAGGTTCATTCACTTATTATGGGTCATTTGAAGAATGAGATGCCAAGTGTCTTTGGAAAGGACTCGAAGCAATCTGAGCTCATCAAGGGACTGGACAAGGAGTTCCAGAAGATTGCTCGCATTCATAACATACCGTTTGGTGACTTCCCTGACCCCGAGAAGTATAGAGGAATCCTTAAAGTCCATGACTTTACAAAGTTCCCCAAGGTCAATCCCAAGATGCTCAACATCTTGGACGAGGTGCTGGCCGTAGACTTCCCAGCACTACTTGAACGCTTCCCAGTGGATGGCGGACACAAGCCGACTCAATATGAGTTGAATCCATTCGCAATAGATGAGATGGAGGAAGCATTGAGATGGACCATCTGGGAGAACATCAACCTTCAATCCTACTTGCCCATATTCTACTCACTCAGTCCAGTCGAAGGCAAGGTCAATGGTGTAGCAGCCAAGCCACCCCTCCAACAATCAGGTCTTGCCAATGATATCTTGGCAAAGATCTGGCGACTAGCTGATATTGATAGGTATGTCAATCAATCATATCATATCATATCATCTCAGATCAATCATACTAACTTATAACTTTGTAATAGGGATGGTAAATTGGATGTTGATGAGTTCTGTCTGGCAATGCATTTGGTCAACACAAAGATTGATGGTATTGAGTTGCCAGAGTCACTTCCATCTTCATTGATCCCTCATTCGAAGCGTGGAGGATTCCAAATGGCCACCGAGATGAAGTCACTCAAGAAGAGTGGCTCGTTGTCCAACAGGAAGATGTCAGGAGGCAAGCTCAAGCCATGATGATCATCGTTCATTCAATGATGTGTTGTTGTCAATACAATAAAAGATCAATCAATCAATCAGTCAATCAGTCAATCAAGGAGCGAGGTGACAGTGTCATTATAGGTGGTTTATTGAGGAGAACAAAGCTTGGGACGCTATAGCTATTATTTAAACGTTTGGCTTGTCCTTCTTTCCACGGTAGATAGCAAGTAGAGCAACAGATGAGACCTTGACAATCTTGAATCTGACACCTGGAATATCTCCGACGGCGTGACCGGAACGACCGAAACCAGCAACCAAAACCTTGTCCTAATTATATGTTGAAGAGTAGTGATTGAGTTAGAACCCTTGTTGTTGTCTTTGTGCATGCTTCACATTCCATTGCTATGATGGTCGCGAAGGTGAAGCATTAACATCTAGATGTTGGCAATACATACGTTTTCTTGGATGTAGTTGAGACAACCGTCGTTGGGGACGAAGGCGGTAACCTTCTTACCGTTCTTCTTCAACTGGACTCTGACACACTTACGAATAGCAGAGTTAGGCTGCTTGGACTCAATACCCAGACGCTGAACAACGATACCAGAAGCATGGGAGGCACCTCCGAATGGGTTAGCCTTCAAGGCAGTGCCAAAATGAGCCTTCTTGTATGTCTTATCGTGCCATCTCTGGACACGACGATGGTTTCTGAGCTTTCTAGCTGTTCTCAATCCCTGTGGTTTACTATGTTGTTATGATGTGGATTAGATGTTTCATTTGTTAATACTCTATGTTAGATCAAGACAGGTATCCTTCGATCATTCATCATTCATCGTTGACAACTCAACATCGCGACCAATGTAGTCTTCTGGATGATTGAGATGTGATTGATCGATGGATTGATGATGATGAAGGATTGCTGGATGTCGATGGTGTATTGTAGCTGGATGATAGTTAGATGCATACCCCATTGTGATGTCGTCGTCTAAGATGCGGATGTAGAAGTGACTAAGTCTAACGAAGAACTCACGCACTCATACTTGCTCAATTCTCGCCTTCCTCCCACTCTCACACTCTTCAAAATCTTTATTTTTTTACAATTAAATTTGGATTAATCATCAAAACACACTAAATAATCAATGCCCGGGCATTTATTTCAACCTTCCACTCTTTTCAACTACAAACAACTATCTCTTTAACTCTTTGATTGAGATGACATATTAATAATAACTATATCAAATACAATATAACATGTATTATATCATTGAGAATGATTGTAAATGACGAGATAAATGATCTGACTTGAGATGAACTTGAAGAGTGTGTGGGTTTGTGGTGGACCGAACTCCACCAATTCGGTGGGTTAGTGAGAGCGAGGGGGTGAATGATATCATTTATCTCTTTCATTTCAATCTTTCTTTATTACTTGTATAAACATCATCCTCCTCACATGTATCATCAATATTAGGTCATAGTAGTAGCAGTAATAAACAAACGAACAAACAAACAATTATAACAGCAAAGACGACAACAACAAGAGTTGACCTGACCTGACTTGACCTTTCATTGATTGATTGATTGATTGAATCGATCACATCACATCACGTCACATCATATAATATAACATATATATAACGAATGGATATCAAGTTCATACATGTACTACTGGCAATGCTGCTGGTGTTTGCATTGTCAAGATATACTTTGATCGTCACATTGCCACCACATCGACTTAAACTTCAAGAACAACAACAACAACAACAACAAACGAATATACAGACATTGGTCGATGCGCACAAGGTCATAGAACATACAGAGAGATTGATAGAGATTGGCAACTCGAGATTCGTTTATGAGGAGAGCAGGAGTCTGGCACGCGAATATATAAAGACTAGACTCATGGAGTTTGGTCTGCCCGAGGACAATATCATTTGGAATCGATTCGAATGGGTGGAGCGATACGCAGTCGGCAAGAACATTACAACCACGACCTGGACAGGCATTAACATTGTAGTGTGGACAAACACTACGGCCCTGCCCGCCGCCCGTCCCATCCGTGTGATTGGCGCACACTATGACACACTGCACTGGGGCATCAACCGCACGTCTGGCGCACACGATAACTTGGCCGCCACCGGCCTGCTCATCGAGACGATTGGCATATTCTTCCAGACGCAGCAGGCGCTGCCCCTCGAGGAGCAGGCGCCATATATGTTCCTCTTTTTCGACCAGGAGGAGCCGGGCGCGCTGGGCTCCAAGTCATTCGTCGACCACCTGCGCATCAGCAAGAACCCACAACAGTATGCGTACTTTGTCGACATTGATGCGATCGGACATCGGCTGGCACCAGGTCCAATCTTGCAGACCTACCCCTACGAGCACCAGCACAAGACCCACTTCTCACCACGCTGGCTGGTCGATCATACACTGGCTTCAGCCTACCGTGTACGCCCCGATGGCATCTCGGTGGGCAATGCTCATCTTGGACTGTCCTTGCTATACCAAGCGCACCGCTACCATCTCCTGTCCATCCCATTCCTCAGTGATGACGGTCCGTTTGCATGGGCCGGCGTCCCAACCATCCTGCTCACCGACCTGGACATATTCTACGGCCACAATCCAGACATTCATTCTATAACCGACCAGCCGTCGAATCTGGACCCCGAATCATTGGCCGACACGTCAAAGATCCTTATGGAGTTCCTGCAATCGACCAACACTGATGCGGCCCTGCCCCCATCATCGACCAAGTCCACCGACATGCAGAATCCACTCAAGCGCTTCACACTTGGACTGATCGCCAGTCTGTTCGAGACCATCTTCTCTGGCCACCTTCAGTATCTTGCCATTGGCCCAGTATCCATCGGTTACTTTGAGTTACTGTCCTTAATTTACATTATGATTGCCTTCATGTATGTGTCGTGGCGTGTCAATCAGTTGGCCAGTGCACTCATACTAACTCAATCACAATCCAATCAATCAGATATTTCAACTCATTCCAAGCATATAGATCTGTAGTGTTACAGGCAGAGCGACTGCCTAGCCACAGACCAAGGTTGGACAATATATCAAAGAAGCGATTCACAGAGTATGGTGGTGGTGTGGCTGACTCTGACGACAAGGAGACGTTACAATCTCCATCATCAACGATTTACAAGAGACATAGCAATAACACCAACGATCAGAGCGCTGTCACAGGTGGAAACAGCGGCAACAGCACGCCAGAGCACAGGACAGAGTCACACGAGCCAATCACTGGCAATAATGTACACAGCGGTGTTAATAATCACCATCGACATCAGATATCAAGCGAACACTTCAGCGGCAACAAGAATGACCTGGATTTGGCATCGTTCAGAGGATATCGAGTCCTGTTCTTCCACCTCTTTGCGCTGTCATTCATCGCCCTCATCGACACAGTCTATGTCTTTGAACTGCTCTGTCTTTCGTTCGTCTCCCTGACGACCATCCACCTCCATCGCTTCAATATCAACCTGTTGACTGGATTCATCTCTGGCGTATTCTGTGCCAACTTCATTGTATGTTTGGAATGACTGGTCCAGACTGTTGGATACGAACTAACCTCATTCCTCCATTCATTCATACGACACAGTACAAGGACATTACTCAGATACTTAGATTAGGAAGGCGTGGCGCGGGCTATCTCGAGCTTAGACTGGCGCTGCTGATGGCAGCTTACATTGTACACACGATACTGGTCGTCATCTATGGTTATGACTTTGACAGGAAGAAGCTGAAGCTTAAAGAATATATCGCATTTGGAAAACAACAACAACTACAACAACAACTACAACAACAGAATCAACTAAAGAGCGCCGAGAAGACAACTTAAATGTTCGAGGCTTTGGAACATTATACATACACTTACAACCAGCCAACCAATCAACCAACCTAGTTAACTTGGGAGGTTACACTCAAACGAATACATAGTGCACACGATCGATCGAGAGGATATTTATTGGCAATCAATCATTCAGAAGGCTATTTACACTCATAGTTGCTTGCTTCTTCTTTGAATGCTGTTGAGGTTGTTGTTGCTGTTGCGGTTGTTGTTGTACTAGGGGAGGTGATGGCTGATCCCTGTACACAAACTTGATCTCATCCTGTTTGATTGATTGGTTGATTGGAGCTCGTTAGTGAATGGCCATGGATGAACAAATAATCTGGATGACTTACAATTATGGACGCGCTGTCCAGTCGTATCAGGAGCTCTTTGATTATGGGTAGGTTATAGTTGTTCAGATTATCCGCCCGTTGAAGCTCATCTTTGATGGCCACGGCCAACTGTGGAAGTAGTTGTGGCTGTTGATATATCAGTGCTACTTGGCGTACTCGCTCGCACTCCACGATGAGACTCTCCATTTTGAGTGGTGTGGCGCGACATAATCGCTGCACTTTGGTAAAGTCCGACTGCAGTGCCTCGGGCTTGACGAACGACATTACCATGCTGTTGGACGGATCCTTGTTGCTGGGCGTGGTGTTGTATGAGGGTGTTGGATTTGGTGGCGTCTGTGGCGCATCCTGGGCCATGTTGCCAATGGACACTACGTCCATCGTGGACAGGTCGATCTGCAGCAGGGCACCAGAGGCTGTCATCGTGGCCAAGGGACTGTTGGGCATGAATATAGACAATACGAGCACGGGCGTATCATTCTCGATTGCAGACACCAGCATGCCATACCATGGCACAGGGTCAGCATTGAGCGTGACAATTGCCGTCGTCTTGAGGGCACGCATACAGTAGTGAAGTACGGAGCATAGAGGAGGGAGTGTATCCGATACCAATGGGACGACCACGTGACGCGACAATGTGGGCAGATCCGATGCCTGTCGATTGGGTATGAATCCAAGCAATGTGAGCACGCTTGGGAACGAAGCCAAACCTTCCAGGCGGTCTCTAACAAACTCAAACAATGTAAACACCGAAGGATAGAGTGTAATTGGTGATGTCAAGTGTCCAAACGTAAGTAGGCCCTTGTAGAATGAGTCTGATTGAGTGATGTTAGTCAAGTGATTGATTGATTGAGTGAGGAAAGCGGACGACTGACTTACAATGACGTGTAACGATTGAGTTGAGGGTGTCTAGCAGGGACGTGCGGATGTTGGTCGATGGTGATTGTTTGATGATGTACATTGTGCATTTGATGTTGTTGAGTGTGCCATTGGTGGATGACGATGTGGATGAGACGGTTGAGGACGCTGCTGTCAAGGTCGGCATCGATGGATGCTCATGTGAGTGATTGGTGCATATCGAGATGAAGTGAAGATGATGTAGGAAGGGGAAGTGTAGACGCGCCAGACTTGGTGTGTTGTTGAGTGATGTACAGGCATCGGTGAACACCAACACCTCGACAAGATGATCGCTACCATATCGTTGCAATGTTATTGATATTGCGTGCTCGAGGGCACCTGTGAGATTGGTCGTGTCGCGCAGACTGATGTCGATGACGGCCTGTTTGAGTAGTTGAAGGTCGCGAGTGAATGGCACGACAGAGGCCACTGTCGATGAGTATGCTATCAATGCAATCGAGTCCAGTATGAATGGTCCATTCTTCTCAATCAATTGTATGAAGCCCAATACAGACGATCTCATCAAATCCTTGAATGTGATCATCTCACTATCTGATGATGTTGATGCTGCTGCTGAGCCAGTCTCTGTTGTCGTCGACACATCAGGTGATGCATTACAATGTATCGACTTGGCCATCGACATTGACACATCTAATAATATAATTGTAGGCATTCTCTCAGTTTGATTGATTGATTGATTAGTTGGTTGAATGAACGAATGAATGAATGAATGAATGATTGATTGGTCGAATGAATGAGTGAATGAGTGTGAACAATCATGTGAAGTTCAAAGAAGGTCGTAGTCTTGACAAGACGAGTAGAGTAATAATAATAATTGTTGTTGTCCTAGGACACACAAAGATGGACAATGAACAGACATGATCCGGATCAACCAGGGTTCTTCGACATCATCAACGAATTGATTCCTTGCGATGAAAGAGTCGGACCATTCATGAACTGATGAATTGGTCTGGTCAACCCCCTACCTTCATTCATCCATGCCATCTCCACCCTTTCAACCAAACACACAACACCATCACTTTGAATAATAATAATAATAATAAAATCAATTTGACTCAACAAGTTCATTCATTCTTTCATTCACACACATACTCTCACACACTAAACACTAACTCAACACTTTCTATATTATTAATAACTATTTATCTCTATCTATCTGTACATAGACGTCTCAATATTTATAAATTATATATACAAGTAATAACACCACATAGTAATATCATCTACTTTACACTTTCAACAACATCAACAACATCAACAACAGCAACAGTAAAAGAACAACAACAAGATAATATGTCAATGCTTACATCTTTGCAACAAAGTATTCACAAAGCTTATGTGAAGACTGTTGAGAAGGTTACACCAACACTCGCAACCTCAAAGTTCTTGGACGAAGGTGTTCTCACTCCAGAGGAGTTTGTTCAAGCTGGTGACCTCCTAGCTCACAAGTGTCCAACATGGACCTGGTATGTACTCGACTATCATTCACTCACTCAATCAATCAATCACTAACATGACCAATATACTTTATAGGGAGTCTGGTGATCCTTCAAGAAACGTAGCATACCTCCCAAAGGACAAGCAGTTCCTTTTGACGAGGAATGTGCCTTGCTACTCACGTGTTAGATCACTGGAGAATGAATCAAAGGCTTCAAAGTCTGATATATTTACGATTGAGGGCGCAGGTGACAATGAGGAGTGGGTCGCTCCACACTCAGGGCCAGTCTCTGAGGCCATCGAGCAGGAGGTCCTCCAGAAGGATATGTCTGCACTAAAGATACAACCAGCAGCTCCAAAGCCACAACAACAGCAGCAGCAGCAGGATGACGATGAAGACGAGGATGAGGATGGAGATATCCCAGATATGGAAGATTTCCAAGACGACAATCTGATCGAGGATGATCCTGTAAGTAGTTGGTTGATTGATTGATTGAGTGGAGTGAGTGAGTGATCATAACAACTAATCAAACAAATGAATATAGTCAACTCTATCCAAAACAAACAACACATCACAATCATCGAGTACATCTACAACAACCAACAGCAGCAACACAAGCAACAATGTATCTATAGAAAACACAACGTCAACTGATGACGACAACATATTACGTACTCGTACCTATGATATAAGCATCACCTACGATAAATACTATCAGACGCCCAGGGTCTGGCTGTTTGGATACGACGAGAACAGGAAACCATTGAAGGTATGTCATGTCCTTAGTTGATTGGAAGCGAACAGCATCCTAACACATACACCAGCCCGAGGAAATATTCGAAGATATCTCTGAGGACCATGCTCACAAGACAGTGACAATCGATTCACATCCACATCTTGGCATCAGCTTTGCCTACATTCATCCATGCAGACATGCATCGGTAATGAAGAAGCTGATCACTAAGCAGTCAGAGAATGGCAAGGAGCCAAGAGTTGACCAATATCTCTTCCTGTTCCTCAAGTTCATCTCTGTCGTCATCCCAACCATCGAGTATGACTTTACATTGGAGTTTGATACCTAAAGTCAATATGTTCTCCAACATTCAACAACGTCAACAACAATACACACAGTAGTGGTAGTAGCAGTAGCAGTAGCAATAGCAATAACATACACAAGCAACAGGCCTCTTCTTCTTCCTCTCCATCTCCATCTCCATCTCCACTCCTCCCTCCTCTCCTTCTCTTATTCCATTCTCTCTTCTCTCTATCCCTATACTCTATCAATCAACAGACGTCGGCAACAGCAACATGAATGGACACATTATCAACAACATTCATATCTGTACTGAGCAATAACCAACCTCATAAATAAACTCAATCACATCTCTCCATCCATCACAATGTCCTGTCCATCATTCATTCAATGTCATTGATTCACTGTTTTCATAAAGTTTGAACTCACTCTGATGTCACACACTTTCATCACTCGGTTTTCGACAGTGACTTGCTACTCATTCAATCAATCAACCAATCAATCAATCAATCGTATAGATATATACTAACACATCGACAACAATGTCAATATATTGCTGCAAAGTGTGTAGCAATCAACTGTTCAAGGCAAGTGCCATTGTACAGTCATCTGAGTTGTCAGATAACACTGCCTACAAGTTCTTTGATTCGCTCATCGTCGACAGCTGTACATTCACAGAGGAGCACTCCTTTGGTATGATCACAGTGACCATCACATGTAAAGGAGTATGTAATAGTAGTCGTACATCATTCATTCATTCATTCATTCATTCATTCATTCATTCACTTACTTATTGATCACAACAACAACAATAGTGCTATGAAGCAATTGGAGAGACTACAACAAGTGATGGAAAGGAGATATTCTCAGTGATGACTAGCGCGATAAAGGAGGTTGATGATGTAGATGTGGATAAATACGAAACTACATCTACCTATATCCTATCACAACAGATAGATGAACAACTTAGAGAGAGATATAGAAAGGTGTTCAATGTGCAGCCAGAGGAGGACAACGCCGCCAAAGTACAATCACCATCAACACAAGATAATAAGGCCGATCCCAACAACCCAGCAGCAGCAGCAGCAGCATCAGCATCATCTCAGAAGAAACGACCAACACCACAACAAATACAACTTATGCGCAAGGCTGCGATGGCAAGAAGAGGTGCTCGCGGAGGCTCCCGTGGAGGAGCTCCAGGAGCACCCCCCGTAGAGCGTGATGGTGCTCCATCAGACCGCGATGGTACTATTGTATCCCGAGGCCGTGGTGGACGTGGAGGCCGTGGTGGTAGAGGTCGCGGAGGCTCTCGTGGTGGCCGTGGCGGAGCCCCTCGTGGAGGCGCCCCTCGTGGACGTGGTGGAGCACCCCGTGGCGGAGCTCGTGGTGGACAACAAATACAGCAGGCAGCTGCTCCACAAAGAAGACCAAAGAAGAGTGCGTCTTCATCGTCCAAGGATAACCTAGAGGCGACCATTCGCAAATATGTCAGCATCGACCTCCTCTTTGCCGGCTTCATCAGCTTCATTTCGCTCAGATTCGTTGGTACTGCCGTCTACAAGACGCTCAGGACGCTCAGGTACATCAGGTGAGCGCACAGTCATTGATCATGCGTTGTTGGTAGTACAACTATTAAACGATAATATATTTTATACATTAAGGAATGATTGACCAATTAATCAATCTTTCTTCTTGTTCTTGTCTTGTTGTTGTTGCTCCAACGAGTATCGCCATCCACGGGGATTCAACACCATCCTGTCCAGACGCCAGCCTGCCGACTTTAACAGCTGCTTAAACTGGTGATCCTTGATGATTGTGGCCAGTCGATTCGACTCCAGATCGCCAAGATTGGCACTATTGACAGCTGCCAGGCCTAGGAAGTAGGCCTCTATGATGTCCTTTGGCTTGGCCAACTCGGACAATGCGATGAATACATGTCTGTGACTATCATTGAAGTTGGCCCATATCCTGTAATGATCATTGCCATAGTTTGGAAGATTGATCAACTCGTTGCTCCAACGTTTCTTGTGTTCAATGACGTTGGCCAGTGAGCATCCGAGTTCAATGGGGGCATCCCTTGTGCGCAACAATACGTTCTCCTTGGCACCAATCTGGTTGGGCGAAGAGATTGCGCCATTCTTGTTTATAAAGTCGCGGTGGATGAGATGGGCACGGTAGCGATTGATTGATGATAGTCTGATGTTGGACACAGCACGGTAATTGCAAAGGATGTGTAGCATTGTGAACAATAAGAACGCTGCCCATGTGATCAGTGTCGCAAAGGAGTCGTTGCCATCAGGGATCGATGAGGAGAGAAGTGCACCAAGCATCATGCCGATAAGTGCTGTGGCTGTCTCTTGTGAGCCGTCCTTTGCCGACACGTCTGCAAGGTTGTCGCGCTTGGCAAAGTGTTGTGTGAGACTGGCCTTGGTGCAACCACCGGCCACGCCACATAGAGACTTGCATACAAGGCCCGCACAGGATAGGGGCAGGAAGAGCGTGGGCGAGAGCGGAGACAGCATCTCCAGGGTCATTCCAGCGTCGTTGAGTATGTCTGCGGCGAATCGCCATGTCTTGGCATTGCAGTCCAGCTCGGTTCCCTTTTGCCATGCGAACCAAATACGTCCAATCATGCCAGCGCCATCTCTTATGACCCATTGTAGGGCAGCGGATGACACGGTAGCGGTAGCATTGCCAACACCATAGCCGCGTAGGATTGCGCGTGTTGACAGCACACCAGTGAGCGAGGAGCAGAGTGCCTGCATCGTATCCCAGAATTGATAGGCAAAGTAGTCTTCGGTGACACTGTCCGGGTAGCCCGATGGCATGAACATTGACTGCAACAACTCCATCAATGAGCTATGCTTCCTTGACTGTTGATTCAGCGACAGACAATCTGCATAGTCGCCATCAGTGGCGACCAAATACTTGTTGATGATAACATCACTTTCATATCTCTCTGTTAAATGATTGAATGCCTGTTCCAATGTGGCCTTCTTATTATCTCTTTGTTGTTGTATTTGTTGTTTGTACATGTTTGAGTGAATGATGAGTAGAGGGTGAACTTCACACTAATACATCTTTGTTGGATCAGAATGAACCTACCCATAAAAGGTAATAATAAATACACATAATGTGTTGTCTTTATTTGTTCGAAAACAAGGTTGTTGTTGTCACAACCATAATATATATATAGATAGACATACAGATAGACAGACAGATAAACAAACATTGAATAGAGTTATAACCTAGTCTTTACCTTGACAACTTCCAATTGTTTAGGTACTTCCTTCATACATTGGGTTGTTACCAGAGGCTGGGTTCTGAGTGTAGAGTGGGTTGCTGTTGAGCGAGGTGACCTTGTTCTCACGAGAGTTCTTCCAATAGTCATATCCCTTCTTTCCACCGAACACAGCAATGGCAGCGGCGACGGCAGCGGCCACAACAATACCAGCAATCACACCGGTGGAGATGACAGCAGCCTTGTTACAGCCGAATGGCAATGGTGAGTAGTCGTGGAACTCGCACTTCTGTGTCTCGTTGTTGCAGACACCGTATTGGCAATCAGGGTTGGATGGAATACAGGTCTTGGCAAAGGTGATACATCCGAGACGCGGATCACAGAGGACATCTTGACAGAAGTCTGTTGGCTGAGTGCATGTCCTGTTGGCGAGACCACATCCACCTGTAGTTGAACAGATACCAACTTGGCAGAAACCGAGGTCTGGACACACGGTGGCGTTGTGAGCACATCCATCCAATGGATCACAAGTGTCATCAGTGCAAGGGTTGCCATCATCACAAGAGGTTGGAAGGTACGAGCATGTGCCATTAGTGCATACTCCAATGTTGCAGACATTGCCATTGTTGCATTGGGAGGCAGTGTCAGTGCAGCCACCTGCAGCCTTGGAGCATGTCTGGCATCCACTGCAAGACTTTGGTGTGTGGCTGATCACTCCAGTCACTGGATCACAAGTGTCATCAGTGCATGGATCGTTGTCGTTGGTGTCAACGTCGGTGTAGGCACACTTGCCAGATTTGGTGTCACAGTTGGCAACCTTGCACTTTGGTGTCTTGGTTGGATCACAACATCCACACTCAGTGCTGTTGAGCAACTTGGTCTGGCATCCTGCACTTGCATCACAGGAGTAGATTGTGCATGGTGCTGGTCCAGCCTGTGGGATACAGGTCTTTGGCTTGCTGATACATCCTTTGGTATTGTCACATGAGTAGTCAGTGCAGATTGGGTCGGTACCATTGCAGTTCACTGGAGTGGTGTCACAGTTCTGGGTCTTTGGGTTGCAGACAACGGTTGTGCAGGCGTCTGGAGCAACACATTTGGGCCTGTACTGGCAACCTCCGAGCGAGACGTCACACTTGTCCAACACCTTGCAGTTGAGAGCTGGACAGGTCTTGTCTGAGGTCTTCTTGCAAGTACCACCAACACAACCATAGTTGTAGCAAGTGCTGTTCTGAGTGCAAGTCATTGGAGTATGGGTGCAGAATGTCTTCCAGTTGGACGAGGTAATACCTGGAGTCTTAACGGATGGACACTTGTCAATGGTGCATGGATCGCGGTCGTTACAATGGGAGGCAGCGTTACAACATGAAGTTCCATCACCGTTGCAGACACCGCAGTAGTCAATGTAAAGACACTTGACAGCAAGGTTGGTGTCAATCCTTATTGTGGAGGTGGAGGTATGTCTCTCACAATAGTAGAAGTCAAAGGCATATGTGTTACCCTATTAGTTGATAGAGGTTTGTCAATATTTGATTGATTGATCAATAAGGTTAGAAACTTACAGGAGTTAGGTCAAGATCCCTAAGAGTGATGTTCTGAGATTCGGCAGCATGGATACCACCAAGGTCGACAACAAGCTTGTTGTCAATGAACACCCAAACATCATCATCACCTCTGAAGTTGAATACCTCGTTTCCCTAAATAATTGATTGAAATATTAATGGTTAGTATGACTCGTCGAACAATCACAAATATTGCAATGAATGAATGGAAAATACATACGACGAATGTGAAGTATGAGTTCATCTTCATACAGAAATGGAAGTTGTGATATTCTCCATTTCTATCGGTCCATCGTTGATAGTCTGAATTCTCATCGAATCCCTTATAGTCCAATGGGAAGAACACTTGGTTATCGACTTGGTAGATACCAGATGAACCGGACTGGGTGAAGGTGAGGTTGTAGTTCACAAACTCGGTGATACCTGGCTCGTTGGTAAAGAAGTAGGCAAACTTGGAGCGATCGACAATGAGAGCGTTAGGAGAGACGAATTTGTTCAAGGTTGGGATCTTGGTGATAGGGTTCAAATTCTCATTCACAATCTCATAGGTCAGTCCACCATAGACGGAAATATCCGGTTCAAAGTTTGAATTATAATCAGGATACTGATCAAACATTGACACCGAGATGGTGAATGATTCTATATTTGTTTGAATTAAATTAAAGAATAAAAGAATAATTGATTATGTTAGGATTTTATTATTTGATACATCCTCGAGGATATATGGATGGATTGATGGATACATACTTGGACGTTGTCCTTGGACTTTGAATAAAATGCCAAGTAATAAAATACATAAAGTTAATGATTTAATATTATACATTGTGGTTGTTATTATTTTTATGATTGAATATAACTATAATTATAACAAGAATAGGAGGAAGAAAAGTTTAAGTTTATAATGACTTTAAGGTTACCTATTAAACAGTTACCAATCAACAACGACACAACAACAAACAAAACATAATCTCGATATTATCCATCGGCTATTCCAGGTGAATGCCACCTAAGTGGAGTTTGACGGTGATAATCACCTGGGTGGAATGAAGGAAAGAAAGAAGTGAGCCACATCACCACCATTCGTTTAATGAATGATCATCCATGTATCCTATTAACCAATTGGGGCAATGTCAAACCCACTTTAGAATGATTACAAGGACTAACTTGAAGGAGGGAGTGGATCATTCATTTAAACTGAGTCTATCGACAATGGTCCAAGTGAACCACATCGATCGAAACTCGCGTTCCTGTCCAGAAAGTGCCGAAATACTAAGCTTTGATTAATCCACAACTCGCATGTCGTCCTCAAGATGCAAGTATTCTCGGCAACTGGTCAACCCTTGAGATCTCCCTCGGGTCAATCCCCCCTTTTTCGGAAGAAGGCCTCCAAAATGCACTTCGTTTGCAGGATGATGTATTGGTTTATTCATCCAACATGGTCATCCTCCTCAACAACAGGATATCTATGTTTAGCCAAACAGATTATTTGTAAGTCGGCAATAATCATAATAATATGGCAATTAATGATGCAACACAGATAGATAGATAATTATTATTATTAATGGAATTTATATTTAGAAATAAATACGTTTGGAAGGAAGTATGTCTTCTTTGCTTGTTCGACATTCGCACATTCTCTCTCACAACTACTTAGTTACTGGCGTACATTGGATTGTTGCCAGAGGCTGGGTTCTCGGTATAGAGTGGGTTGCTGTTGAGTGAGGCGATCTTGTTCTCACGAGAGTTCTTCCAATAGTCATATCCCTTCTTGCCTCCAAAGACCATGATGGCCAGAGCGACTGCACCAGCAACAACGATACCAGCAATCACACCGGTGGTGATCACTGCAGCCTTGTTACAACCGAATGGCAATGGTGAGTAGTCGTGGAACTCACACTTTTGAGTGCCATTGTTGCAGACACCGTATTGGCAGTCAGGGTTGGATGGAATACAGGTCTTGGCAAAGGTGATACATCCGAGACGGGCATCACACATCACATCTTGACAGAAGTCTGTTGGCTGAGTGCATGTCCTGTTGGCGAGACCACATCCTCCTGTTGTTGAACAGACACCAATCTGACATAGGCCGAGGTCTGGGCATGTCGTGGCGGTGTGTGCACATCCATCCAATGGATCGCAGCTGTCATCAGTGCAAGGGTTGCCATCATTACATGTGTTGGGGACGAATGAACATGTGCCATTGGTGCATACTCCAATGTTGCAGACGTTTCCATTGTTGCATTGAGTGGCCGTGTCGGTGCAACCACCTGCAGACTTGGTGCATGTTTGACATCCACTGCAAGACTTTGGTGTGTGACTGATCACTCCAGTGGTTGCGTCACAAGTGTCAACAGTGCATGGATCATTGTCGTTGGTGTCAACGTCGGTGTAGACACATTTACCAGTCTTAGTATCCACATGTTGCAACCTTGCACTTGGGTGTGTTGTTTGGATCACAACATCCACACTCAGTGCTGTTGAGCAACTTGGTCTGGCATCCCTTTCCGGCAGCACAAGAGTAGGTCGTGCATGGAGCTGGACCAGTCTGTGGGATACATGTCTTTGGCTTGCTGATACATCCTTTGATCTTGTCACATGAGTAGTCAGTGCAGAATAGATCGGTACCATTGCAGTTCACTGGGGTAGAGTCACAGTTCTGGCTGGTTGGGTTGCAGACAACTTTAGTGCAAGCATCTGGAGCAACACACTTGGGCTTGTATTGACAACCTCCAAGAGTGACATCACACTTGTCCAACACCTTGCAGTTCAAAGCAGGGCAAGTCTTCTCTGAGGTCTTCTGGCAAGTACCACCAACACAACCAATGTTAAAGCATGTGTTGTTCTGAGCGCAAGTCATTGGAGTATGGGTGCAGAATGACTTCCAATTGGATGGAGTGATGCCTGGTGTTGTAACAGGTGGACACTTGTCAATTGTACATGGATCATTGTCATTGCAATGAGCTGGGGCGTTACAGCATGAAGAACCATCACCATTACAGATTCCACAGTAGTCTATGAACAGACACTTCACAGCAAGGTTTGTTTGGATACTAATGGTAGAGGCATCGGTATGTCTCTCACAATAGTATAAATCAAAGGCATAAGTGTTACCCTAAAGTATTTGATTGTCAGTTAGTATTTGTTGTTGTGATAGAGGTTGAATGAGAATGAACAATGTTTTGTTGTTGAATGAACAACAATGTTATGCGTGTGAATAGATGTGTTCCAAGAAATACATACAGGAGTAAGACCAAGATCCTTGACAGTTACATTCTTGGCGGCGGCTGGATGAGTACTGCCCAGATCCACAGCCATCTTGTTGTCGATGTACACCCACACATCATCATCTCCTCTGAAGTTGAACACTTCATTTCCCTAATTAGGACGAACAGATTGATGTACACAATGTGTTAGTGAATGATGTTGTCAATGAAGTGATGAATGATTAGCAATACATACAACAAAGGTGAAGTATGAGTTCATCTTCATGCAGAAATGGAAGTTGTGATAGTTGCCAAAGCCATCTCTGTAGACACGCTTGGCGGGATCAACGTCGAATCCTTTGTAGTCAAATGGGAAGAACACTTGGTTGTCAATGCCGTAGATACCAGTATTACCAACTTGGTTGAAGGTCAGGTCATAGCTCATAAAGTCAGTGATGCCAGGTTGATTGACAAAGAAGTAGGCAAACTTGGCGGTATCTACAATCACACCAGCCTTAAGGTCGGCTGTTGGACTAAGTACAGGGATCTTGGTAATTGGATCCAAGTTTGGAGTCACAATACCAAGCACAGGAAGTCCACTGTTACCAGTGAGGTCAGCCTCAAAGTTTGGATTGAAGGCAGGGTATTGATCAAACAGTGATACAGAGATGGTGAATGAGGCTAGAGATAAATAAAGTGTAAGTATATTTGATTATATTTTAAGTTTGATTGTTACATACGTGGACGTTGTCCTTGGACATTGAAAACAATGCCAAACATTAGAATACATAATAGGACTTGGTATTGTTCCATTTTATTATTACTTTATAAATAAATAGTTATTATTATTATTATGGATACTAATAATAGGAGAAGTGTAGAATGAATGATGAAGTTGAATGGATTGAGATGGTTCGATCATGATGTTGATTGACACGGTATGTCTTTAACCAACGAGATGAAGATTGATTGCCACAACATTGTGGTGTAGTTGCTTATGGAAATGATGAGGAACACGTAGTTTGGTTAAAGTAATCTAAAGAGAGATAGTGAATCTTACGTTCTAAATAATATTAATTTAATTGATATTATTAAGATTCTTTATCACATATCCGATCGACAGACATGAATCTTGTCTCTTTCTCTCCACCAATAACACCTTTGCTTGATGTCCAGGACAAACAACCACACTACCACAAGATCACTGATCACACTCATTGATGACCCGAACTATGAAGGTTTGGGGGTGGACTGGTCCATCAAATCTTGCTCGTAAAATTAATAAAAGATATTATTTTGATCATGATCTTCCCCATTAATGGGCGTAAGATATTGATAATTTGGCAAGAGATACATATAACCATAGTGCAAATGTTAATGAAGTTATCTTATCTTGTCCATGCCCATGTCAGTGTCAGTGTCCTTGTCCCTGTCCAAGCCCAAGGTACATCTAGAAGTATCTCATTCATTGATGATCTTCAAGTTGATTATACAGATAATACATAATAATAATGTTTATTTAAATAAATACATAGTGGATGGTGGCGTTGTCGATCGGACATGGACATGGATGGATAGACTTCGAAGTCATACCAGAACAAAAAAAAGCGGGACGTCCAATGAATGAATGACCTTAGGTAGTACTAGGTCTTAGTTGTTGCCGTACATTGGATTGTTGCCAGAGGCTGGGTTCTGAGTGTAGAGTGGGTTGCTGTTGAGTGAGGCGATCTTGTGGTCACGGGAGTTCTTCCAGTAGTCGTAACCCTTCTTGCCTCCAAAGATCATGATGGCAAGAGCGACGGCACCGGCAACAACGATAGCAGCAATCACACCAGTTGAGATCACAGCAGCCTTGTTACAACCGAATGGCAGTGGAGAGTAGTCGTGGAACTCACACTTCTGAGTGCCATTGTTGCAGACACCATATTGGCAGTCAGGGTTGGATGGCACACAGGTCTTGGCAAAGGTGATACATCCGAGACGCGGATCACAGAGGACATCTTGACAGAAGTCTGTTGGTTGAGTGCATGTCCTGTTGGTGAGGCCACATCCACCTGTTGTTGAACAGGCACCAATCTGACAGAGACCGAGGTCTGGGCATGTCGTGGCGGTGTGAGCACATCCATTCAAAGGATCACAGCTGTCATCAGTGCAAGGGTTGCCATCATCACATGTGTTGGGGACGTATGAGCATGTGCCATTGGTGCACACTCCAACATTGCAGACGTTTCCATTGTTGCATTGAGTGGCAGTGTCGGTGCAGCCACCAGCAGCCTGGGTACATGTCTGGCATCCACTGCACTTGACTGGTGTGTGACTGATCACTCCAGTGGTTGCGTCACAAGTGTCAACAGTGCAAGGGTTTCCATCATCAGTGTTGACGTTGGAGTAGACACAGGTGCCGGTCTTGGTGTCACATGTTGCAACCTTGCACTTTGGTGTCTTGGTTGGGTCACAGCAGCCACATTCAGTGCTGTTGAGCAACTTGGTCTGACATCCAACGCCGGCAGCACAGGAGTAGACAGTGCATGGAGCGGCACCAGTCTGTGGGATACATGTCTTTGGATTGCTGATACATCCCTTGGTCTTGTCACATGAGTAGTCTGTGCAGAACTTGTCTGTACCATTGCAGTTCACTGTAGTGCTGTCACAGTTCTGGGTGGTTGGATTGCAGACAACGTTGGTACAAGCGTCTGGAGCAACACACTTGGGCTTGTATTGGCAACCTCCGAGCGAGACGTCACACTTGTCCAATGTCTTACAGCTAAGGGCTGGACAGGTCTTGTCTGAGGTCTTCTGGCAAGTACCAGCGACGCAACCATAGTTGGTACATGTGTTGTTCTGGCTGCATGTCATTTGTGTGTGGGTGCAGAATGTCTTCCAGTTGGATGAGGTGATACCTGGTGTGGTAACGGATGGACATTTGTCAATAGTGCATGGATCATTGTCATTACATGAGGCGGCAGCATTGCAACATGATGAACCATCACCATTACAAATTCCACAGTAGTCAGTTGTCAAACACTTGACAGCAAGGTTGGTATCAATTCTGATAGTTGAGGTGGTAGTATGTCTCTCACAATAGTAGAAGTCAAAGGCATAAGTGTTACCCTAATAGTTGATTGATTGATTAATTGTTTGTTTGTTTGATTGATTGAGTGAGTGTTAATAGTTGCCCGAGAATGGTCTGACAGTGTCACGAGCCAAGATTATACATACAGCTGTGAGTCCAAGAGTCTTGAGTGTGATGTTCTTGGAGGCGGCAGAGTGGACTCCACCGAGGTCGACTGCAAGCTTGTTGTCAATGAACACCCAAACATCATCATCACCTCTGAAGTTGAATACCTCATTTCCCTGTTTGATTGATTACATAAGTGATATGAAGTTAGTTCATCATTGTCCAATTGATTGAATGGATGGATGGATGATACATACGACGTAGGTGAAGTATGAATTCATCTTCATACAGAAATGGAAGTTGTGGTAGTTTCCATCGCCGTCTTGGTAGATTCTCTTGGAGGCATCAGTGTCGAATCCCTTATAGTCGAATGGGAAGAACACTTGGTTGTCGACCTGGTAGATACCGGATGAGCCGGACAGGGTGAAGGTGAGGTCGTAGCTCATAAAGTCTGTGATGCCAGGCTGGTTGGCAAAGAAGTAGGCAAACTTGGGCTTGTTGACAATGAGGCCGTCAACAGTGTCGGCGTTTGGGCTCAGAGTTGGGATCTTTGTAATTGGGTCCAAGTTGTAGTTTACCAAACCTGGAATAACTCCACTATGTCGGCTGTTATCAGCCTCAAAGTTTGGATTATATTCAGGGTATTGATCAAACAATGATACAGAGATGGTGAATGAATCTAATTATGAAGTTTGATTAATTAGTAAATACAATAATTGATTGATGTTGATAGGAATGATTCCAAGGTGTGATTGATTGAGTGGAATGATTCCATGGTGTGATTGATTGATTGATACATACTTGGACGCTGTCCATAGACAATACCTAGGAGTAGTATACACAATAATAGTGATTTAGTTCGTTCCATTATTATTTAAATATTATATATATTGTATAAGTTAAGTTATTATTACAACAAAGATGGAGATAATGATTGATGCATGAATGGGGCTATCTACCTTATCCAAGACATTTCTTGGACCATGATCAGGATCATGGTCAACAGGGATGCAGTCCCAATCTTGGGGGATGGTGTGGCATCATTGGATGATGGACCATCATTATCCAGTAATCAAAAGGCCATCAACATCCATCCATTCAATCATCCAATCCATTCGTGTAATATGAACAATACTCTCTCCCCATCCAACCAACCAACCTACCAAATAGACATAATAGACCACCACTCGCGCACTTGTCGATTCATACACACAAACAATGTTGTGTGGCGATCTAGAACATTATCACTATCAATCATCAGAGATGGTTTAATAAATTTGATGTATTCATATAAAGCGATGGGATCTATCTACCGACAAATTGAAGGAGTGCGTGAGTGAGAGAGAGACTTGGTAGGACTCAAAGACCTGACACAAGATGAAGGGAATGATTGAGCGAGAGAGTGACAATTGAAGACCCGAGATGGGTCGTTTGCAGGAAGACCCTCTCGGTCCATCATAATATGTGGTTGGTGGGAGTGTTCCCAATAATAGATATTTTTGTTCGTGTTTGTTTATGTGTTTGTGTGATTGAAGGAGTGTGGGTGTTTGAACAGTTAGTTAGTTTTGTTTGTTGTGTTATGTCTTTGTGTCTGAGTGTGTGTAATAATGAAGGTCTGAATGATCACCCGAGAACACGATCGTAGCGTTCTTGCTATTTTGGTACCACTATCCATTTGAATGGCTTAAAGTAAGTTCCTTCCACACACCACCTTAAACACATTCAGAAAGAGACCCGAGGGTTGGTGAACTCGACCGGCAACAGTTTCTTGCCTTGCAAGGTACACTCAAGCCAACCGATTCAAACTGGATCAAGAAAAGACTTACAGAGTTGTCTGCGAATGTGAATGTATGATCGAAATAGAATTGGATGACGATAAATATAAATATATTTATTTGTTTATTATTGTGATGGGTGGAGTGTATGTGTTGTTGTGCTTTTGGTTGGACTCCATGAACGAGGATTGTCACTCCAAACCAACCATCGCTTCAAAAAGAATCATTATTCAGCGAAGGATAGTATAACCCTTCAAAGATCTACCCGACCTCGACTACAAAATTCATTTTACACTTCCATCATCCACCTTTATAAATTGATAATGACATGTCATCAATCAACCTATTAATATTAAATACATCTTGGACTTGTTATAATAATATTTCCTTTATTTAAATAATATTATATTTTTATTAATATTTATTTATTATATTTATTCATACAGATAATAATCCCGTTTAGGTACAGATACAGATACAAACTCAACTCAAACATACACACACAAAGGCAAGTAAACATATAAAGGTGTATCTTTAATGAGAAATAAATACATAGGGTATTTGAGATGATCGGAGAGTGGAAATGATGATAGTTGCTGTTGTTGTAGTTGATTGGACATCGAGATGTTCCTTGAGCTTCGCAGCCAAACGCAACCACACATGTCCAGACACTCTTGAGTTTGCTCGGGTGTTGATTGATGGGTGTGGGGTAGGGGTCGTTCACTCACTCACTGCACTTAGTTGTTACCGTACAGTGGGTTGTTACCAGAGGCTGGGTTCTGAGTGTAGAGTGGGTTGCTGTTGAGCGAGGCGATCTTGTTCTCACGGGAGTTCTTCCAGTAGTCGTATCCCTTCTTGCCTCCAAAGATCATGATGGCAAGAGCGACGGCACCGGCAACGACGATGGCAGCAATGACTCCAGTCGAAATGACGGCAGCCTTGTTACAGCCGAATGGCAGTGGAGAATAGTCGTGGAACTCACACTTCTGAGTACCGTTGTTGCAGACACCGTATTGGCAGTCGGGGTTGTCGGCGACACACTTCTTGGCAAAGGTGATGCAGCCGAGACGCTCGTCACAGAGCGAGTCAATGCAGAAGTCGGTCGAGGCGCAGGTTCTGTTGGTGAGACCACATCCACCGGTTGGGGAGCAGATACCAACCTGGCAGAGGCCAGCGTCTGGGCAGGTGACGGTCTCGTTGTGACGGCATCCAGTGTCTGGCTCACATGAGTCGACGGTGCAAGGGTTGTCGTCACCACAGGTGTTGGCAGTGTACGAGCAAACGCCAGCGGTACAGGTTCCGAGGTTGCACTTGTTACCAGTGTCACAGAGAGCGTTGGTGTCAACACAGCCGCCAGCGTCCTTGCTGCAGGACTGGCAAGCGCCAGAGCACTTCTTTGGTGTGTGGGTGATAAGTCCAGTGTTTGGATCACAGAAGTCATCAGTGCACGGGTCATTGTCGGTAATGGAGGCGTTGGAGTAGACACACTTTCCAGAGAGGTTGTCACAGGTGGCGACCTTGCAGAATGGGGTCTTGGTTGGGTCACAACATCCACACTCAGTGCTGTTGAGCAACTTGGTCTGGCATCCGGAGCCGGCAGCACATGAGTAGACAGTGCATGGTGCTGGGCTGGCTGGGGCACAGTTCTTTGGCTTGCTGACGCAACCCTTGACCTTGTCACAGGAGTAGTCAGTGCAGAACTTGTCTGATTCTGGGCAGACGACTTGGGATGAGACACACTCACCAGCATCGTTACAGACGTTGTTAGTGCATGCATCTGGGGCGACACACTTTGGCTTGTACTGGCAACCACCCTTGGAAGCATCACAACCGTTGTTGACCTGGCACTTGACAGCTGGGCAAGTCTTGTCAAGACCCTTCTGGCAGGTACCTCCAACGCATTTCCAGTTGAAGCAAAGATCGGCGGCAGTCTGGGAAGCACAGGTGATCTTGGTGTGGTTACAGTAGTTCTTGAAGTTGTCGATGGTGAGACCAGCCTGGGTACCTGGTGGGCAGGAATCGATGGTGCACGAGTCCTTGTCATCACAGTCTCCGTTGGTGGCGGCACTGCAGCAGGATGAACCGTCTCCGTTGCACACACCACAGTAGTCAGTGACCAGACATCTGACCTCGAGGTTGGTGTCGATCTTGATGGTGGAGGTGTCAGTGTGTCTCTCACAGTAGTAGAAGTCAAAGGCGTACGTGCCTCCCTTGGAAATTCCGAGCTTAGACTGGGTAGCCGAGTCCTTGAGGTTGAMCGGAGCCAGACTCACGAGAGTGCAGTCCACCGAGGTCGACAGCGAGTCTGTTGTTGATGAACACCCAGACATCATCGTCTCCTCTGAAGTTGAACACTTCATTGCCCTGGAAGGTGAAGAAGGAGTTCATCTTGAGGCAGAAATGGAAGTTCTGGTAGGAGCCTCTGCCTCCATTGTCCTTGTAGATTCTGTTGGCAGCTTCAGTGTCCCAGCCCTGGTTGTTGATTGGGAAGAAGACCTGGTTGTCAATGCCGTAGATACCAGTGTTGACATCGTTCAAGGTGAAGGTCATTGGGTATGGGATGAACTTGTTGATGTTGGGGGTGTTGGCGAACCAGCTGGGGAAGGAGTCCTTATCGACGATTCTTCCATGGTACAGGTCAGCATTTGGTGCAATCTCGGGGATCTTTGACTGTGGGTTCAAGTTGAACTTGACGAGGCCAGTAGTAAGACCGTCGACCTTTGAGTTATCAGCTTCAAAGTTGGAATTCTTTGATGGCAAATGATCAAAGATGGACACAGTGACAGTAAACTCGTCTATTAATGTGGATGTGAATGTGTTAGTTATTTGTTTGTTTGTTTGTTTGTTGGAGTTGTATTCCTGGAATGTCCTGGACACACTGTGTTTCTCTACATACTTGGTCTCTGTGCCAGCACTGCTACAGCGCATATAACAAGTACTATGAATACTTTGTTCATGTTCATTTCTTTAAATAAATATTTATATATATATATTAGATCTCTCCTCCTTTAAATGTTGTATTAGTATATATAATAATATTACAAGGATGTTATTGTACAACAACAATTAAGATAGATAGATAATTATAATGAATTGACTTTGGAAGGATCACTTGCTTTTGATTTGTTGGTTGTTGTGTTGGCTGGTCTTCCACACCGACATAGATATCTGACACACCTTTGTTGTTGTGTTTTCTCTCTTTCCAACGCATGAGCAGGCAGTCGCCGTGCCCACGGGCTGCCAAGCCCCCGGCAACGGCCCACAAACAGCTTGTAAAGGCAGGCACCAACAGAACTGCACATCCAGCCACCACCCACCTGCCACACCACGTCGAGTATTATTATATTCTGGTCAAGGCAGTCATGAAGGTGGCTAGTCCAGTCAAGTCTTTTCGTGTGAACATGGTCACACCAGCGTTGCCCCACTACCACCCATCCACCCGTCTTCAAACCCATTTGTGGCACCAGACCTTTAAGATCTTAACTAACGTTTAAAAGAATGATCTTGCAAAAAAACACTGTTTTCCAGGGGCTAAATGGGATATTCTCACTAAAAGTGGGGGATCTTGTGAAATGGATGTCGGTTATTGATTTGATGTGTGTTGGGAGAGTGAGAAAAAAACGAAGTTTGGTAATTAGTGGTTGGATGTGTGTGTGGAGGTTAGATGGACGTGTGTCAATTTGGATGTGATGTGCGGGTGTGATTGGATGTTGCCGGTATTAGCTTAATAAATGATCATGGTGACCCAAATGCCATCGCATGATCAAATTCCATTATTATTGGGAATCACATTGGAGCTCAAGCATGCATGAATTTAATGAATGTACATGAACGAATGTGGTTGATGATCGGCACGATTCCGTATTTGCACGTGTGTGTAAGTAGAACATCACTGGTCCAGTCCAGTCGACTACGTTGCAACAGGGAGGTGATAGTTTAGTTGTTTGATGGAATGTTGGATGCCACTTGTTTAATTGGCCCCACAATAGACCGACTGCCTGTTGACTGACACATGATTGATGGACCATGGACCAATCAATACTTTGAAAGGATGGTCGATCGGTCGGACGAACAACCATCGCGTGATGAAGGTTGTAGAATGGTGGTAGTGGTGGCCCAGCCCACTCTCCGATTGGTACCATCACGAGAGTGTTGGGGCGCCGCAGCAGCAGCGTCAGCAGCTGTTATTGCATCTTAGTTGAGTGGGCTGGTATTGCGGATATGCTGGCTATGAGGTCATCAATGGTGGCCTGGACAAGAGGACGTCCAACAATGTCCAGTTGGCGATCAAACATCCTCAAGGCTTCCTTAAAGAGGTTGATGTCCATCATATTCCTTTCCTTGATTAGATCGGTTACTGTTTCCGATAAAGTGATAGTAGTCGTAGTACCTCTCGTCTTTATCGTCGGAGACTGGGAACGCAGTGACAATGACCTTTGCAACATTTCGGACGAAGCCGGCGAGATATTTGCAAAGTCCAAGGAACAATAAAACTTTGCCAATGCTGCCGTTTCAATGAATCGTTCGCTTATTCCAATGAGACCCATCCTACATTATTATTAATAATATAACATGTACGAATAAAGAAGTGATCGAGAGTGCGAGTCAGTATATATCGCGACATGAGGTTATTGGGGTCGTGTTGGTGTTGACTTGTCACTATTGATCACTTCAAATAATGAAGTGTATGTTGATTGATTGATTGATGTGTCTTACCTTCTTAAGTGAAACAGAGCCACACGGTATGTCTCCTCTGTTGTTGACGACACGGCAATGTTGCCCAAAAGTCCATCATTATTGGACGACTCGTCATCTTCGTCGTCTACATATTCTTCGCCAAGGCCAATGCCATTGCCATTGCCAATACCAATACCAACTCCAACTCCAGGGCCAACACCAATGCCAGCCAACATCCTCGTTTGTTCGTTATTCGCTTGTGGAGAAGTCTTTATCCATTGTTCAATCGTTGTTATATTTGTATCGCTCTCATTCATATGTGCACGATGATTGTTATACGCTCTTATCACTCTCTCCACTGGATCACCAAGCATTGCCAAGTATGAATAACTCTGTCTATCAATGGTAACTACATCATCATCGTCATGACCTCCATCACCATCTCCAATATCATCACTCGACAGACTCATATGAATTCCATAGTTGAATCGACCAATCATTGCGCCTACACTTCCATTCACTCCATCCACGCCTAGATTGTAACAAAGTGTCAGTCACTAACTCAATCCACTCAAACTTAGGAGTCAGTACTTACCTGGATCACCATCGATAACTTGTATCGATCCTGGAAAGTTGTTGGCAATGAGCTCGCCCAAGGTGTTGGGGTAGCGGCTGGTGAGATCAATGCATAGGTATGGTTGGGGGAGCAGTGCCACCGGGTAGTGATTGCGAATCGGTGTCTCGAGTGAGAGTGGCTGCATGGTGAGTCCAAGTTGTCCCATCAATGTCTTGTGAGTGAACTCCATCCTGCGATGTCTATAATACTCCAACAGAATGAGTTGCCTACGCATCTGTATGCGCACTTTGTCCCATTCCTCAGTATTGGAGTTGCTGTTCAGCTGAAGGAATCGCTTGCCCAACATCTCATATCGATGTAGATAGCTGTCGTATTGTTTCGACTCGTATGAGGTGTTGTTGTGATCGTCGTCGTCGTCGTCGTCGTTGTGATCTGGAAGTGCACGGACCATTCTATAGTTGTAAGGGTCTTTGTTTGGGGATGGTTCCACATCCTTATACAATTGATAATAGTTATAATAGTTGATGAATGATAATGTCTTGCTGTCATTAATATAATGTGTGACTGTGATTCCTGAGTTGGAGTTGGAAATGGAGTTGGAGTTGGAAGTTGGACCTTCATGGTCTGGCTTTACATGTGACGATTGATGAAGAATTCGATCACGATCACGACGTTGAACTATATGTTTGAGATACTCTATCCAACCTTTGGCATCGTTGCCAAAGTCAGTTAGGGTAACTACTCTGTTGTGATTGGCATTACATTGTTCTCCACCACCTATCAATGGCAAATAAATAATCATCGGCATTGCTGCCATCAATGCCAATATGAGTAAGATGAATCGGACATTATTCCTTCCAAGTCTACGTCTAATATATGATGTTGGCATTATTATATTGATTAATTAATTGATCATACTAAGGATACTAGTACTTCATTTCAAGAATGATCAGAATGAACGACCCTTCATTGTACATCAGTGATAGAGAGAGAGAGAGAGAGAGAGAGAGAGAGAGAGAGAGACACCTTGACATACTCACAACATATCAGAATAATACTTTGTGACTAGTCTGATGACGTTTCTCAATCTCTTCGCTCACCATGGTCCAAAGTTGGTAACTATTCGTCTGGGACAAGTCTAGTCGATTCAATCATGTGGGGGCGCGGCACTACTTCATCCAACAAATCAAAATCCACGTCTGCAGTGTCATCCTGGACGAAAGTATTTGGTTCAACGTCACAAAAACCCTAGGGTTGTCGTGTCAAGTCGTAGTTGGTTTTGTGCATCTCGCACTCTTTACGTGATGGCATTGTCAATCATTCCATTGTAAACATTCTTTCATTCATTCCATTTACATCGATGACAAATAATTATAATGACATACATACAACATTACATTGTTCGATTGTTCAACAACATGATTGAATCATATGTCTGACATGAATTTTATTGTATTGTATTGAATGAATGAATGAATAAATGAATGTGTTCATCCCGAACAACCCTTGTTTGTTCCATTTATCCATTAATTATCACAACTCATGGAATAGGAACTTACAAAAATAGGTGTTTTGGGATGAGAATGAAGAGACGCAATGTTGGACATAACAGTAAAATTTGGCGCGCAATTTCACTTAGAAGAAATCAGATCTGTTGTGTGTTGTAAGTGTTTTGCAAACAAGTGAAGTGCTGACTGAACCATTTTATTCATTCATTGTTATAACTATTATTTATATATATAATTGATATCAACGATTTCACAAACAAAAGAATAAGATGTTCTTTTCACAGATTGTGTTGTCAAAGAGAGGACCACTTGGAAAGGTCTGGCTGGCTGGTCATTGGGACAGGAAGTTGACAAAGAGCCATGTCTTCAAGACAAACATCCCAAAGTCAATCAGTATGTTCTAGGACATTCAATATATGTTGTAACATTCAATACTAACAATGAATGAATGATTACTTCAATTGATTTGTAGGACACATATTACATCCACATCTTCCAATGGCTCTTCGTATGACATCACATTTGTTGCTTGGTGTCGTACGTATCTTTTCAAAGAAGGTCAAGTTCCTGTTGGATGATTGTGGTGATGCCGTTGCAAGATTCAAGGGCACAACCAAGATGATTGCACCAGGTATCAACTTGGCAGTGGCCGAAGAAGAGGAGGACCCTCAAACACTCACAACAACATCAAAGCAAGGAAATGTCGCACATCAAATCGATGACTATCTCCGATCAGTTATTCTTAAAGATGGAAGAATTGAAGAGTATGTATCCTATTCATTCATCCATTCATTCATTGTGATCTAACACACACATCGCATCACATTATAGCTTGGTAGTTGACAAGTTCTTTGAGTCAAAGAAGTTCCAACAACTATATATGGAGGCCATGAAGCCTGTACCAGCTCCATCGGCACCCTCTACACCTGGCCAGAGACATATAGATGAGCCAGGATTATCACCAGAGCAGCAAGACACCTCAGTCATGCAAGAGGACTTGGAGAAGCAGCAGAGGATCGATATCGAGATCATGAGAGAGCTGGACAGGATGGATGCAGAGCGAAAGGCGCGCCAGGAGGAGTTGCTTCCACAACTGAAGGAGCGCGAGAATGATGACTCATTTATCAGCTACAAACAATGGATCGAGAACTTCCACGAGGATGAGATGGTGATGCGAGGAGCCCAAAGCGTATCAATCCACATCACGCCTCAGCGACAGAGCATCGAACCATCTGCCCAGAAGACCGGTCCGCCTGGCACAGGTGAGGAGGGCGACGATCAATTCCGTCCCTACTCACCAAGCTCACCCTATCAGGCGCCGCCAGTCCCTGCCGACGTTTCAATAGGCCAACATATGAGTCCTGGTCTGGAGATCGAGCCAACATCAATGGAGCTTCAGGGTGTGTTCGATCCAGTCGACTACTACCCTGGTACCAAGTTTGACATTGACAAGGATGATCCCCTTCAGAAAACAGGCAAGGAAATGGACTTGCCAATCCCCTTCATAGGATCGAGGCCTGATGATGAAGAATGGATGGAGCAAGGAGGTGACCTTCCTCCTTCCCCGCCCCAACAAGGAGGAGACTATCCGCCTTCGCCGCCTCCACCAGATGTCAACCAGGAGCGTCCAGACACAGCTGTCGACTCACAGAAGCCCAGGGGTATAATCCCTTTGATCGAGATATCACCACCAGAGCAAGTCCAGCCCAAGACCACCAAAGCAATGCGCGAGGCACAAACCAGAAGAATAGGACGTAGGGCACTCAACCGAACCGATATAAACCGATTGCGAAACAATGCCAACTCCCTGCTGACACAACACCGAACGTTCCCCACGACCAGCGCCGAGTTCCACCTGCAGACCAAGACCCTCTCGGCGCCCGGCCCAAAGTACTCGATGCTGATGCCGGTGCGCAGAGTGATCAATGAGAGGATCACCGACCAATTCAGAGACATCTTCCACAGATACAAGGAGGTGCTCGACGATGACGATGTCAAGCTCATGAGCTACCTCAAGGCGGCAAAGGTGCACCAGTCGCTCAAGGAGTTCGAGGGCATGGGCGTGGACTTTGATTCAACGATGAAGGAGTCGCTGGGCATCCCTCCCGACATGGAGTTTGACAAGCTGCCACTCAAGGAGCAGGTCATTCTGTCCAAGGTTACCGAGCATATAGAGGATAAGCTTAACATTGCACCAAACAAGCGAGCAAAGATTGACAGCACCATCACTGAGGAGGAGGAAGCCCAGCTGTTGGGCCAGCTCGAGAAGGAGTTGGACATGCTCGCGATGCATCCAGTGTCACCAGCGAGACGAGACGATTTAGAGCATCCATATGTCGGCGATGATAAGGAGAATGTGTTTGAGGTTGATCTAGGTGGTGGTGGTGATCGATGGGACGACTACCAGCACAACCCTGTCCTCCCTGAAGATGATCTGAGTCCGATCAAGGGCGATCTGAGTCCGATCAAGGGCGACGACGATGGCATTCCATTCAAGACGCCCCAGCAGACGCCAAAGAAGACACCTGGACCAGGATCATGGACACCCAGAACATCAACAATGCACACCGTTCTCAACAACTACTTCAACACACACAACACCAACTCAATCAACTTTGAGAGTCTGGTTGCCGACAAACAGACAAGAGTTGCCGTTGCCGGTACCTTTTACGAAATGCTGGTGCTCAAGACAAAGGGATTGGTCGAGGTCCACCAAGACGAGGCATACTCTGACATCCAAATCACAAAGACGAGCTCGTTCAATCAAACAAAGTCCTGGGCAAGGGAACCAAACCAGCAGGAGAATATGGAATAACGATATCATTGTACATATACATATCATATATAAATCAATCTACTGATTGGTGGATCGGCAAAACGCGCATAATGAACGTGTATGTTGGGACCAAGGTCATCACTCTTGAGTGTCGATAAGTTTGGTATTGTTACTTGATAACCATGTTTATTATCCTCCATGTTGTTGTTGAATGTACTGTACAGTAGTCGCTGATGATGATGAAACCAAAGTCAATGATGATGGTGATCGATAAAGTTGTTGTTGTTGTTGTGGCGGTGGCGGCGACGACTCACACATACACTCATAAACACAGCTGGAGGAGGAGAAGGAGAGGAAGAGGAAGAGGAAGAGGAGGAGGAATGACGAGAAGTGCGAGCGAGATGATGCTTTGAGTATATTGATTTAGCAGCATCCCTTCTTCTTCTCTTGATGTGTAGAGGTTGTAGTTGCGATTGGAGTGTCAGACAGTGGAGTAATCTTGTGTCCAGCATTCGTTTGTGGCTTCAACCACTCCTGTCCATCATCCATGACAATGTTCTTTCTCTGTCCCAGATGGCTATATATGTCTGTTGATTGATTGATTGATTGTGATTCGTCAGGTGATCAGTATATTGTATTGCATACCATGGCAAGGCATGGCTCGAGATGTATGTATGTATTCTTGCTTACCCTTGAGCAGACGTTCAAAGGCTTGGTTTACATTGTTTGAGTTGAGAGCAGAGGTCTCCAAGAATGATATCTTGTTGGACTGAGCAAAGGACTGAGCCTCCTGAGTCGACACCTCTCTAGACGTTTCCAAATCAGACTTGTTGCCAACCATCATGATCAAGATGTCTGGCTCTGCATTCTCTCTCAATTCATTCAACCATCTTGTAACATTCTTAAAGCTTATCTGTTTGTTGGTTGGAGCAGTAGCATCAAATGGTTAGTCCTCATGTATGTATGTAGTGTCACATGTAGTCAAGACAGACAAGACACATACTTTAGATGTAATATCGTATACAATCATCGCACCTACAGCTCCACGATAGTATCTATATATGATTATGTATGATGTGATTATGATTAGTCAAGATGTTTGATTAGATTGATTGATTGAAGTGGATAGACGTACCCGCTGGTTACGGCACGGAAACGCTCTTGTCCTGCAGTGTCCCAACATTGAGCAGTGACAACCTTGCCATCGATCTCTATTGACTTGGTGCCAAAGTCAACACCGATTGTAGCCTTTGTCTTCTCTGTGAACTCGTTTCTTGTGAATCTATTTAGCAGGTTTGACTTGCCGACAGCAGAGTCACCAATGATGACGACTAATGTGAAACGTGTAAGTCTCATTCATTCATTCATTCAAACACACAACGACAACATACTCTTGAACAAATATTCATTCTCTTCTTCTTGTGCCATTATTATTATTATCTATATATGTGTATCTGTATAATTATATATATTAAAGATGTCAAGTAATACTACTATTACTATTACTACTACTATTGCGTTCTGCTTCCTTTTCCCTAATGTGATTGATTGATTGATTGACTACTCCTACAATAATGATGTGAATTAATTAATCCAACAACAATCCTTATTTATAAATAAACGTGTAATATATATATATGTATTTAGGTATATATTATTATATACTTGTGATGATGAGATGAGTAATACTATTAATTGCAATTTACTTCTGTTGAAGTGGAGATTGGTGTGAGAAGGGGAATAATGACAAAAAAACTAAATAAATAGTTGTTGAACGAATGTGATCCCCCCTTCCAACTCACCCTCACATCTCAGATTGTTGATGTTGAACACCAAACACGCGTGTGTGTCAGTGTTTGTTTGTTTCGTTCACTCAAGTCAAACAGAACTTTGAATCAATTTTGGTGAAGTCATCTTTGACCAGGGTAGAAGTAGATATAGTTGGATTGTTATAACATGTTGGGTGGGTTCAACAAATATTATAACAATGAGAGTTATAAAGACACAATCAGATATATATAGCATTAGTAATGTTATTATTAAGATGCAACTTATGTGTTGATTGAATAACAAAGTACAACTGAACTGCGCGCCAAACAATGTTACTCCCTCTAATTAATGGTCTAAGCTCATACTAAGCTTTGTCAAGTGGTGAATGAATGAATGAATGATTGAATGATTTATTGCTTGTGAAGTTCTTTGTAAACTGTGCATCATGATCATAGTCATTGTAACAACAACAATCACTCTTTTGTTACTGTTTGACAACAGTCAGAATACTTGAATTCAAATTTGAAGTTTAAACTTCTGTGCTCACAACGGACATTTTGAAATGAAAGTAAATGGAGGGAATTTGATCAAATCAAAATAACGACTTTTTTCAAACATGTTTTCAAATTTTACGTGTGAATGATGAGTGAGTGCGGATTTTGAAGTGATCACACATTCAACACTCTTTAACGGACCTCTTGCTTATAAGCCAATCCTCAGAGGACAATCAGAACATATCAATTGACACCACACAAGTACAATCTACTTCATACAAGTATTACTCTTTAAATTGTATGTATACCATATCATCTATCTTATTAACATCACCATCGCTCAACACTGCCACTCTATCAATCGTACTCTTAAACAGACTTCTAACATCATTCACTCATTCTTCTATCTCGTACAATCATACAAAACAGTTCTAAAGTTAATCAATTAAACTCATAACATAATGTCTACTGCCCCATCAGGAAGAGGAAAGACCGGAGGAAAGGTCGGAGGAAAGGTCGGAGCCAAGAGACACAGAAAGGTGTTGAAGGACTACATCCACGGAATCACCAAGCCCGCCATCCGTCGTCTTGCACGCAGAGGAGGTGTGAAGCGTATCTCGTTCCCCATCTACGAGGAGATCCGTAACGTTCTCCGTAACTTCTTGGAGAATGTGGTCCGTGACTCTGTCGCCTACACTGAGCACGCCAACAGACGTACTGTCACTGCCATGGATGTCGTCTATGCCCTCAAGAAGCAAGGTCGTACCCTCTACGGTTTCAACTCATAAACTGAGTGGACCATGAGCTCAAAGTGAACTAGCAAGGCCGTACTCCTACTGGTGTCTAAACAAAGGGTGTTTCTTAACACCACCACAAAGAGTTTAGAACTTTATCATTATCCATTGTTCATCTACCTCATCAATCACTTCACCAATTTCTATGTATCATAATTGAAATGTCTTTCTTATCATCTTTCTTCATCTACATCTATATCTTTACATTCAACCAATCTCTGGTTCATGTTGTCAATGTTTGTTCTCTTTATCTAACTCTAAAAAATCCTCAATTATCTTATCAACATTGTTGGGTCCGATGTTCCAAGAATTGATGTGACAACAACTTAACATACATGACTAACCCTCGTATTCGTTGTCTACCTGTCATTCGTCAATACCACCAACATACTTGTATCAAAGAGATAGAGATAACACAATAATATTATACGTTCATTCCATCTATGAATAAAGATGGACACAGGTCATTCAGTTCTGTCCAGGCAGGCGAGACCTTCAACATCTTTGCAATAGTAGAGGACTTATATAATGATATAAAGAAGTGTAACCTTGGTAATTATCATTTAACATTATTTATTATTAAATACTATATCATTCATACTCAAACTCATTCAATCATTAAATCAATCCAATAGACTGGAGCCTTACATTCATACTCAAAGATAAGAACAAAGAATTGGTATCTGCAACGTTGTTCTTTACCAATGATTGTGTTCAACATTATAGATTGATTGGAAAAGGTACATTGTTGTTATTTAAAGGACTATATTGTTATAGTTATAGAGATAAGATATATGTAAAGGGAAGAATTAAGCAAGATGGTGGAGATTGCCAAGTTTATATCTTTCCATCCGATGTAGATATGTCCCATCCAACTCCATTGGAGTTACATAATGGACGACCGAGTGTAAACTACGTGGCATCGAAAGAGGATATCAAACTCATACATAGCTTCCTCAATGATGACAGTCTGACCACAGTGCAATCTATACAAATGGAGGCCGTGAAGGGTACTTATGTTGACCTCATAGCACGACTCGATCACATTATGCTGCGGCAAGATGGCAAGATGATCAACCTCAATGTATGGGATGGCACTGGAGACTGTATTATGTGGGACGAGGATGTCTCTGAGATCACAGTTCGCAACACAGTCCAAGTCAACAGTTGGGAGGCGAGCCACATCAAAACATTCACCGAGACACCTCTTGGTACTTGGTTACTATTCACAGGACTTAGGTAAGTAAAGACATCATCGCCATCCGTTGATTGTGTACTAATTAGTCGATCAATCAATCATCCTGCCATCATAGAGTAAACATATATCGAGACAAGAAGGAGTTGATGTTACAAAGAACATCCACCATCAGGCCACTTGCACTTGGAGATGCCAGAGTTGTTCAACGACTAAGGTATTGAATGTTGTTGTTCATATGGACATGATCACTCACTAACTAATACATGTTTGTTTACACCTGTTAGACGACATTTAACAATACTTGAGGAGCACTCTAGCATTCATGAGAGGTGACCGATCAGATCGATCACCTTTGAACATCGTTTTGGGTAATCAAAGACTCACTTCCCATTATTGGTCTTCTGGGTCCGTTCGTAACAGACGAGTGTGAATCGCACCATCCCACCTTGACCGTTTCACAATCCAACCACACACGTGGGCTTTTCGCCTTGTGGGAGCGAGGTCCTCAACACAAAAACCCAAATAAAAATGTTTTGATCAGTGAGTGGACCACACTAAATCTAACACACAATCAAATCAAATCAATCAATCACATAAAGGCCAATCCGCCAATCGCATAGACATAATATATATATAATACAACAGTAGCAAGCAAGCATACAGCATACATCATACTAGACAACGACAACAACAACAACAACGGCAACATCAACAAAGACCATCCAGCATATACATATATAACAAGGCTGTTGTATAACAGCAGCAGCCAATCCAATCCAAGATATGGATGATAATATACTAAACAATGACAACACATCGTCTACCTCTGCAGCCTCAGACCCAGTGCTACACAGTGGATTCCTCACCAAGCAAGGTGGAACAGTCCACAACTGTAAGACATCGTCCTCCCACTTGACCACGCTGGACACCCACTAACCATTCATCCATCCATCCATAACACATAACAGGGAAGATACGATGGTTCATACTGAAGAAGGACACACTATACTACTATGTTACCAATGTCAACTGGGAGAAGCAACGTCCAAGAGGTGTTGTATACCTTGGCAAGGGCGTGGAGGTGTCCGAGGTCAACTACAAAGGCAGGAAGTATTGTTTCCAGATTGTGCCTCCATTGCAACAACAACAACAACAGCAACTACAGCAACAACAGCTATCAACATCGCCTGGATCATCCAGTCCAGGTCTGTTGGGTACCAGTCCACCAAAAAGTGCATACTATGACGATGATATTGCCATGGGTTATGGATGTTTGCCAACATCGTCACTCACTGGACCACCACAGCCACGCGTCTACCTAATCTCGGCACAGACTGTGTTTGATCAGAAGAAATGGATCGAGAAGCTCAAAGAAGTGATCAATTCCAACTCCACGCCACAGTCCACATTTAGGAAGCCTGTACACGATCAGATCTCAGCGTCCATCAAAGACATGGCCACAGGTTGGCGGAGAAAGTAAGTTAGTGATTGATTGATCGAATGGAATGATTCCACCCTAACACGCTCCTCGTTCGTTGGCCAAATAGGGACTCATTCGCACAAAGCCCATCACTACTGAACAGACGAGAGTCAATGGATTCAGTCAACAACTTGATCAAGGTATCCTTGTCCAAGCGCAAGTTCTACTTCTATCATGACGATTTGACCGTGCCTGAGTTGGCATTCATTGAATCGCCACCACCAGCACGCAAGATCACCTCTCCATTCTATTCGCCAGTGACTCATCTCAACTCACCATCTCAGCTTTCGGCCTCGCCACCACTCTCCTCATCATCATCATCGTCATCCAGCCACAGCCTATCACCGCTGTCCACCTCACCCGTCTCACCTTCGACCTCGTTGCATGGTGGCGGCGTCATGATGCATGTGCCCATATCATCCGCGCCCATGCCAACGGGATCAAAGCAGCCCAAGATAGTGGTGCACCACATTGCCAAGGACTCATTCCAGATCAACAACTTGGGTCAATGTCCTATCAACTTCCAGATACTCTCGCCCTTTGATGTCAACTACACACTCTCATTCCACCCTGCCACAGGCACGATAGCCATTGGCGAGACATTGCAGGTGGCAGTCGAGCTCGTCGTCTATACCCACGTCGAAGCCGACATCTACAGCACGGTGTGCATTCGCGGTGGAGGCGAGTTCACGTTGTTCACGCGAGTCGTATCCGACCCGATCTTGCCCCTCTTCCTGCGCGCATGCAACGGCACCGTGCTCAACGATGCCGACTCTGCACAGATGTACGGATACATCAAGGAGAAGCCAGCTGTGATGAAGCGTCTGCAAGAACTGGCACACACTATGATCGCGAATGGCCAGCACATCAACCCTAAGGAATACGCACTTGGCGCACTCTCTCTGACTGGATCAGGCGCGGGTATCCCTCGCTACATCCATTCACGTGTCCGCATCTCCAAGTATGTGTTGACGTTTGGCAAGCAAGGTGATCAGACTGCCAACATCTACCAGCTGCTCACTGAGAAGTTCCTGATATCCAACTCTGGCGACACAGACATCAGCTTCCAGTTCCATCAGCCCAACCTCAAGCGCAATCAGTTCAACTTGTCGATGGTGCCACGCAACGGTAACTTGGCGCGTGGCGAGTGGTTCTACATCAAGTGCTCGATGACTGTGTTCGAGCAGATCGAGGTCAACGAGGTGATCCAGCTCATCATCAATCAGCGCGAGGTCCACTACATCCTCGTCAAGATTAAGTGCGAGAACATTCACGCTGGCAACAAGGAGATAGACTTGGAGTCAGAGCTTGTTATCCAGGACCAGCTTGGCCACGGTGCGGCAGGCGAGGTGTTCCGCGCACTCATCTCTGTCAACAATCTGAAGGGACATCTGACGCGCAACAGTTATGAGCGCGGCAATTGGATACGGCGACACCCAACAGACAACACCATCATGGTGGCAGTCAAGCGGCTGCACCAGCTGGCAGAGCCATCGCCAGAGATCATCCAGGACTTTTACAGCGAGGTCAAGGTGCTCAGCATGCTGAACCACCCCAACATCGTCAAGTACGTTGGTGGATGCACCAAGATAGGCAACTGGGCCATCGTCATGGAGTACCTACCCTGTGGCAACCTCATGGATGTCCTGGCCGACGACATCGTACCAATCCCGTTCGCATTAGTGTTGAGAATGGCGTTGGACATTGCCCAAGGACTGCACTACCTGCACTCCCTTGGCATCTGGCACTTGGATCTCAAGTCACCAAACCTGTTGGTCAACTCCCTGTCCCTTAAGGCATCGGTCAACATCAAGGTGGCCGACTTTAACACCTGTATCAACAAGAGTAGAATAACTGGACGTAAGTATCATTCACTCACTCAATCAATCAATCAGTCAGTCACTGACACACGCACACATATAGTGTTTGGACCAAGTGGACCTGGAGTCAAGAAGGGAACAACACTTTGGATGTCACCGGAGGTGATCAGGGGCGATGTATATAGTGAGAAGTGTGATGTCTATTCGTATGGAATTATATTATGGGAGATGTTGACCCGCAGACTACCTTATGAGGACGTGGTGTTCAATTGCGAGATTGAGCGACAGGTACTCAAGGGCAGACGTCCCGAGCTGCCCATACCCAACTGTCCACCCGACTATCTGCACCTGATGACCTCGTGTTGGGACCAAGACCCAGAGGTGAGGCCTCAATTCGATCAGATCGTTCATAGCCTCAATCGAATGATCAGCAACTATGACATACAGGAGCAGAAGGCCAAGGCCTCCTTCCGTGGCCTACGTCGAACAAACAGTAGCAGCAGCATACATATACCACCTGCACTGGAAGTGGGCTCACCGGGCACACCTGACCAGTACCTCGATCGTGCCTTCAAGAACAACAACAGCAACAACAACAGCAACACCAACAGCAACACATTGGCACCACCAGCCAATGCCAATGATGTTCGCAAGTCCAAGATCAGAATGAATACCAAGCGCCAAAGCTCCGACTCGTCATTCCTCTCAACGACCTTTGACTCGCGTCGTTCACGTGGCTCCAGCATCCTCCCTTTCAAGTTCTCCCCACCCACCACACCTCATGGCTCGGCATACTTTGGAAAGACCACAAGGCCATCATCTACCACCTCTACCATCTCAACTACCAATATTACATCCACCACAACCACAACAACTAACAATAATTCACATGGCGAACAAGACCTTATTTCCATTCCACTTCCAAACGAGCAGTCCAGTCTCAATCTACCAGCATCGATCATCAATATGAAGGCAGGAGTTCGCAGCACCGTTCGATTTAATCCATCCTACACCAAAGTCGGTGTGACAAACAAGCTGTAGCTTCGCTCCATGACTCCATGGCGTGGCCGCCAAGCCTTCCAGCTTCATCAATCTCCACTCAATCATTCAACCAACCATTCAACCATTCAATCATGCAATCAATCAAGTAATCAAATTATTTATTATCTTCTGGCTGGCCAACTTATATAAATCCACCATCATACCATGTTATATGCTCATGATCATTGCAGACTTAATCTTGGACTCTCTTTGGCTTTGAGGGCACACTCACTCATGTGATCAATCAATCAATCAAGAAACAGTAGTAGAAGAAGAAGAAGAGTTGGAGAACCATCACCAACATCACCACCATCATTACTATTATCATCACTCATCGTCATCATGTTCATCAATCAATTAATGTTGTCTGCCATTATTATTGTCATCTCTGTAAAATTGTCATTGAATGTTGAGATTGATGTCAAACTACAAAACAAGCACAAAGTGCCCATTTAGTACAGAACCGATCAATCATCGATTCGTCGGATATTCACAACTCATCTCATCAACATCTTCATCACCATCACCATCAATATTGGTAATCCTATTCTCTCTTCTCATCATCCTCATTCACTCACACACTCACACTCACACACTCACAATCACTCACACCATCAATTAGCTGACCTGTCATGTCAAACCAATCAGATCACCACCATCAACACTCTCTCACACATCATCACCTCATATATGTCATTCTGGAAATCACTTACAAGTTGAGGAATATGCATATGACCAACTCTGCACCTGGACAGAGTCAGTATTGTTGATTATCCACTATCCACATCCTATCGGACAACCTCATTGCCCCACCAGTCCTGTCCAGTCCAGACCTTACCAGACCAGAAATATATATATATGTTGAAGTACTTCATTATATAATTATATATATTTATTTATCCGAGTTTAGCTATAATCTGATCTAGTAGAACAACCAAAATGTCATTGTTGAATAGAGGAATGTAGGTACAATCAATCAATAGAATGAATTGCTAAAAATAATATTAATAATATTTAATTCCCAATTAGACTCAAGGACTTTCCTTGGATCATAATATGGACAGTTATTACCAATTCATTTATCCTGGTTATCACAATAGCAATAATGACAATCAAATGGGATGCCTCATGCTACACATCAATTATATTCCTAGTCTTATATTGTGTTGTATTTTTAGCTAATCACATCTATGGATTCCTCTTTTATTATATCTTTAAGAAACATTTGTAAGTATTATAATCATCTTGGAATCAGAAGAAAGAATAACTCTAACCTTTCATTTAATTAATCAATCATTCTATAGAATGGTTCGAGCCAATGTTCTGTACTCATCATTCATCATTTTCACTGGTTTATCGATTGCTTTGTTCATGGTATCAGAGTTGATCAAGGATGATTGTGTAAGTTGTAATAATTTATCTTTTGGAAAATATCAAATTATTTATTAATTTCCATCCAATCAAACAAATAATTATAGCCAAACTCTGAATTGTTCCATAAGCTGATGCGTGCTTGTGGAATTATTGATGTTGTATTCTTGGGAGTATTCTTGATTTATATTATCTCTGTTGGATGCTCATCTGCATCAACAAAGAAGATGAAGCCAGGTGCCAACCAACATGTAGATGATTTGGAGATGGCCACCAAGAAGGAGGAGGATGAGAACAACAACAACAACGTTGGTGGCGCTGGTGCTACTGACATGCCAATCGAGGTACCAAAGTCTGAGCATCCATCAGCATAGACCCACACTTACCTCTAGGCTAAGTCCATGTCCATGTCCAAGTCCAAGTATATCCCTTTCTAAGTAACACTATACATTCAATCAAATAAACAAATAATAAGTAAAGTTATATAATTATTATTATCATAGATAGTATCGGTTGATTAAGCGCAGATTGAATAGACAGTGTTGTCAATTGTAAAGTCACATGGACTGGATGATTGACAGTAGAGTGAGTCGATCTTGCCACCTTGGTCAGTGTTGCCAGTGAACTGTGTGTCAGTGATGATGACCGATGACATTTGACAAAAGATGGAACCACCGAATGATGAGGCGGAGTTGTAACTGATGTCACTGTTGGAGATGTGCATCTTGGTGCCATTGATCAACAATGCTCCACCCTCAGTAGCCATAGTCGAATGCAAAATGGACACATTCTGGAAGGTACCTGGTGCTGAGTTGATCACAACAGCACTTCCAGTAGCATTGAGAACGCTCGAGTCTGAGACAGAGAAGTCAGTGTCTTTATTTGATTGATTGATTGATTGAGTGAGATGGTATGTTAGTGGATTGGACTTGGAGACGACACACAACCTTGGCATGATATTTACCTTGGATAAAGATTGATCCACCGACGGCTGATGGTCTCAGGAGACGTCCACCTTCAAAGGTGCAGTCATTGATGGTGATCATGGACTTTCCAGCGCTGTTTCCAACGATACAGATGTCGGCACCAGTAGTGTTGGCAACGTTGTAGCTGAACTGACACGATTGGACGGTGAGCTGTTCGGGCAAGTTGGCAATGATATCACGGGGATTCATTTGATAGTAGATGGCACCACCATTCTCACCGTAGCAGTTGATGAATTGTGAGTTGGACACTGTGACGTTGGAGGTGTCGGCATAGATTCCACCACCGTTGGTACCTTGGATGCCTGGGCAGTCGGCAAAGAGGCATGAGTCCACCAGGATGTTGGCGTTGAGCGAGTGGACCGAGGTACCATTGCACTCACGGAATACGCTGCTGTGGATGTTGATATCAGATCCGATAGCGCTGAACACACCTGAGCTGCCGGCCTCGATGTTTACGAATGTGCAGTTGATGGTGTCGATCACGATTGATGTGTTGTAGGTGTTGGTCGCGCCAATGACACCACCGCCCACGTTCGAGTTTGAGAATTGGATGTTCTCGATGAGTCCATAGAATGTGGAGATGCCGACCTCGACTCCGAGGAATGAACCAAACATTGAGTTGAGGTTGTTGACAATGAGACCGCTGACGTAGAGTCTGCTGTGGGTGTTGGCTGGGTCCAGTGGCTTCTGGGCAAACATGTCGTTCAATGTGAACAGGCTCTGCGAGCCATAGACGTTGGGCGAGAAGGTAACAACGGAGTTGGCCTGGGCTGGCAGCACTGTCAGGTTGAAGCCGTAGATGTCAAAGTTGCTGTTACCATAGCCTTGGTAGGTGCCGGGAAGCAGCAGCAGGGTCAGGGGTGGGTAGGTGCCCTTGTATGTGGCGGCGGGGAATTGGTTCTGGAACGAGGTGAGGGCGGTACTGACATCGGCGCATGGCGACGACTTTGAAGTGCCACACAGACCCTTGGTGACTGATGAGTGAGAGTCTATAGTGGCGTAATGCTCGCCAGTGTTTGAGCTGGATGGCTTGACATAGAGAGTGGTCATGCCTGTTTGCTGAGCGGTGGCACAGCAGACCATAATGGCAATGACAATGGACAATAAGTTAGTGCGCATTGTTGATTGATTTAAGATTAGAGAGTATATTTATAAATTATATGATTGTTTGTACTCCTGGTGAATGTTTGATTGATTGATTGATTTGAACTGGAACTTGTCCTAAAGTTGGAGCTCAAGATACCCTATGATCATTAACTCATTAACAAACATGTTTGTAACACTCGTTGTTTAGGACTGCCCCTGGCCATACAGGGTCAATCAATGATCAAAGGGTGGATTGTGATGTGATATGATGGGGTGTGGGGGATGATCAGATTGGACCGGAGCGAGCAAAAGACGCAGGGGTGGCCCCTGTTTCGGGGCCTTGTCATGGGTCTGAATTTGAAGACGATGAGGAAAATTCGCGTGTCGGGTCTCTGTTGCGTAGGTATTCATCATGGAGTGACACCTTCTAACAGCACCAACATTACAACAAGAGGTTGATCTTTGCACAATCTTGGCGGCATAAAGATTTAAATGTGTTTGAAGGTCAACGAAGATGCTCCTACCATAGAATACAAGTGATCGGAGTAGACTAAGGAAACTTCCTCATCGGACGACAACGACTTGTCGTTTTGGACATTGTCATGCCCATTTCCATTGACAATCGGGCGGCAGGGAGTATTGTATGCTCCTGAACCTACTTTAATTAATTAAAGTAGTAGTAACAAGCCATCAAGAAAAAGTGACAGGTGACAGTTAGATCGCGCGCGTATCTAGTGACCCTAGGGTCACTTGTCAAGTCAACTCGACAACTGGTCACCCCACTTGGACTTCTTTGGCTGTAGTTGTTGTTGTCGTTTGTTGCTGTTGTTGCTGCCTGGTCGTTGATTGTTGTTGCTTTGCTGAACAGGTTGAGGTTGTTGTACTCCTTTTGAACTCTTTGTCGAACTACTCCTACTCTCACTCTGGTCATTGCTGGTTGTTGTTGTTGATTTGGAGTATGGTTGGTATCGTTGGCCACCAATAATGTTCTGTTGCATCAGTTGTGACCCAATTGCTTTGAATGAAGTATGATAGTTTGTTGTGGCACGTTTCTTCTGATCAGCGTTTAATATCTGATCCAGATGATCCTTTGTCATTGATTGAATGGTCTTATTCTCCTTGTTATTCTTATTGTTGCTCTTATCTTTGTTGTTGTTGTCGAGCATGTTAAATGGTGATGCTACCTGAGCTGATACATGTACATTGGACTGTGACGGTGTATTGGTAATGTTTGGTATGTATCTACTGATTTGTTCATCCGTGTCTTGATAGTCCTTCAAATGAGCTGATGTTGATAACCATGATCCAATGAGATTAGACACATTTGACTTCAATGTAATGACAACTACAGGTTCTTTCTTCTTATTCTCTTCTTCTTCTTCTGGTTCATTTGTTGTTGATATAGACTCAGTAGAAGTAATTGTTTGATCTATTTCATCATCATCATTATCTTGTGTCGTAGTTGTCGTAGTAGTAGTTATTGGTTCTGACTCTTTATCTTCATTGTTTTGCTTCTTCTTCTTCTTTCTTTTATTCTTATTATTCTCTGTTGATGATGAATTGATATGATTGTTATGTAATGTATCGTTCATTATATTGTTGTTGTGTATCTCTATCTGTTGTTGATCGAATAGACAAATGACAGTCGGTCGTTTCAAAGTGTGAGATGCTGTCATCTTGTTTCCATCTTTCGTGGTGGAAGGTTTGAACTTGAAGAAGCAACACAAGTCATTCATTTAACTTATCCACAAGGTACCATCTCATCATACATATACATACAATATCATTCATAATGTCTACAACACCAACAACAGATAATACTATATCATCTTCAACAACAAATACAACAACAACAACAAATATAAAGAAGAACTTGTTGTTAGGTTTGACTGGAAGTGTAGCCACTATAAAGTATCAACAATTGATAGACTTGTTATTGCCTCATTTCAATGTTAAAGTAGTGTTGACAAAGAATGCATTACACTTCTGTAAAGACATTGGACAGAATGCTCAACTAAGAGTATACACCGATGAAGATGAATGGACATCCTGGTCCAAACGCGATGATCCCGTGTTACACATTGAGTTAAGAAAGTGGGCAGACTCCATGCTCATTGCACCATTGTCAGCCAACACTCTTGCCAAGTTAGCCAATGGACTGTCCGACAACCTATTGGTAGGTCTGCGACTGACCAACAGACTCACAGATACGGCTAGCAAGCTAACTCCTCATTGCAATGAGATAGACATCAATAGTTAGAGCATGGGACTTCAAGAATAAGGAGTTGATAGTTGCACCCGCAATGAATACAATGATGTGGGACAATCCATTCACTGAGATGCATCTGAGCTCACTAAAGTCATTGTCTGCTCGTATCTCTATCATTCAACCTATTGCCAAGAAACTCATTTGTGGAGACATTGGAGTTGGTGCCATGGAAGAAGTAGGAAGAATAACAGAGATAACAACCGACCTGTTATACAAGCATATCCATCAAGATTAAGATTAATCAGATGTTGGTTGGCTATTTTGAGCCTCCCCAGGTCAAACCCCGACCCAAAACGCAGGTCCTGGGACCACGACCATTCTTCATTTGGACCTTAGAAGTGTCATTTGACAAACACAAACATATATATATATATACATATACATAATACAGATAAGAAGCAATCATTCAACGATGGGAAACCATGTTGGAAGTTTGAAAAAGGAGGAGGTGGAGCAGTTGGTATCCTCATCACATTGTATGTTGAGACAATCAGCAAGAGCAACAACATGATCATGAACTGACAATCAATCAATTCGACTAATCATTCAATATGATGATGATGATGATGATGATGTTATGTAGTTGATTCACGTGAACTAAAGTCATTGTTCAGAGACTTCAAGAAGGATTTACCATCGGGTAGCGCAGTGGTCAGTAGAGCAGAGTTCAAAGAGATAATGACACAGATGGGTATAGCAGACACATTCCTACATGATCTATTATTCAATGTGTTCGATCGTAACAAGGATAATACGATTAACTTTCAAGAGTTTGGTAAGTAGTCTTATTGTTATTGTCTGTCCATCATCTAACACTACTACTCATCACTTCATAGTATGTGGACTGTCTGTAGTGATCAGAGGTACGCCAGAGGAGAAGATAGATTGTATGTACTTACTTTGCACTTGGGGACTACTTAAGATCATGCATGTGGCTAATATACTTACTCAATCTACTATAGTTGCCTTCTCATTGTATGATATGGATAGTGATGGATACATCACAAGGAAGGATATGGAGTTGATGTTGGAGAGCATGTATAGATTGGTTGGCTCATATGTCACGTGTGGCGGCAAACGCTTCGATCAGCAACAGGACTTTATCGATGATTTCTTTGACAAGATGGATGAGAATGGCGACGGACTGATATCCAAAGAGGCCTACAAGCGTGGTGCCCTGAAGAATGCCGATATACTTCAAGGTCTGCGTATTGTCAATCAGTAGGATGGACTCAACAACAGTTGTTGTTGTTCCCGAGCATTGTACCATATATAGAGAGAGGAATACACAACCGTTTATTGTTATGGCGATGAAGAGCCATCTGGTGTCATACTTAAAGGCGAGCTTCCATCTTCTTTTCTGCTTCTGGATAAACCCTTTTCGTTTGGTGTTTCGTCCTCAGAGTCCAAACTGATAATGGATGTGGGTGAAGGATACGTTGTAAGAATTGGTAGCTGCTGCTGCTGCTGCTGCTGTTGTTGTTGTTGTTGTTGTTGTTGTTGTTGTTGTTGTTGTTGTTGTTGTTGTTGTTGTGACGGTTGTTGGGGCTGTGGAGGAGACTGATCTTTCCTTTGTTGGAACAATAATACTGGAGGTAGTGGAACCGCATTAATGGCTGGTCCTGGGACAATGGTGGAAGCATATTGTTGTTGCTGTGGCCATGGAAATTGCTGTTGGTTATTCGGCATGAATTGTTGTTGTTGTTGTTGTTGTATTTGCTGGGGCAGAAGTTGATGCTGCCTGTTCATTGACTGGTGCTGTTGTTGTTGTTGTTGATGTTGCTGTTGTATTAACATTTGTTGTTGTTGTTGTTGTTGTTGTTGAAGTTGAATTTGCTGATACCGTTGCATTTGTTGTTGGAAGGCTATTGAATGTTTCTGTTGCTGTTGATACGACTGAATTAGAGGCGATTGTTGTTGTGGTAATTGTGGCGCAATGCCTTGTTGGATCTGTGGCATGATCATTCTATACACCGGTGGTGGGATCTGTGGCATTTGAGATTGTTGTTGTAGTTGTTGTAGTTGTTGTTGTTGCAATGCATGTGTCTGGAGAGGATATCGTTGTTGCTGTTGCTGATTGGCTTGCCTATATTGCTGTAATACCAAATGTTGATGTTGTCCCATAACATTCGATCCAGTGGCCCATCGAACAATGTCTGACTGCGTAGTGATGAGCAAGTGATTGGAGTACATCATATCGCAATGTTCGTATTTCTTTGTCCATCTCTCGACCACAACCATCACATGAGGGTCGGATTCATTGTCCATCAAACGGAATGTCATATTGCCCAGTGAGGGATAGACTGTGCTGAATGTGTCAACATTGGGCATGGACGACATGAAACAATGCAGGAAGTTGATGAGAGCAGACGGAATGATCATCTTCCTAACTTTGGTATGTATTGGGAATATGACATTCAATTGACCAACCAGCTCGACTGTATCCACACTCGAACAACATGTGACGTATGGTAGATAAGCGGTAAGTGAGGTCATCTGGGCCGGCAGCACAAGTTGGTTTGGTGGTGGCAAGAGGGTGAGCAGCTTCAGGTTGCGCAGTGACTGAGGCAAGATGCCTGGACCAAGTGATTGATTGAACACTGATGAAAGCATCAATGTTGTGAGTGATGGAGGGAGCGCACCAGGAAGTAGAGGGTGATTGAACCCAATACATTCGTTCAGTGATAGACTGGTGAGTGATTGTGGAAGCACGCCAGGTACAATGGGTGAGTTGAAGGTACGTCCGAACGAAAGTGTGGTCAGTGATCGAGGGAGTACATCCGGCTGCAGCGTCTGGTTGAAGAATTGACCAAATAGAAGTGTCTGCAATGAGCTGGGGAGTGAGCCAATGGAGAGTGCCTCGTTGAATGCTTGGGGCATTCGAAGCTCGGTGAGTGTGTCCTGCAGATATCCCTCACTCAGTACCAATGGCATATGACTGTTCTCCATACTATTGATATGAGTTGAGATGATGACATCGGGAATGAAAAGATGAAGTGTATGTATCGAGCGAGGGAGTGGAGCAAATGGCACATGCATGTAAGTGTAGAGATGTGTGAGCTTCTTGGGAAACGACGCCGTGGTCAGTACCGACGAGTATCTGGAGTGATTGTACAGCGTCGTCAGGGAGTCGGGTAGCACGCCGCCAGTGATCGGATGTGAGTAGTTGGTCGACATGTGGAGCACTTTGAGTGAGGGCGGCAGCGACCCCGGGACAAGTCTAAGGTTGAAGTCATGGCCAAGATGAAGTGATGTGACAGATGAGGGGAATGAACAATTGCCGAGATCTGATCCTTGTGACATCAGATTGAGCATGACACCAGTGACATGACTAAAGTTGATTGAGTGAAGCGAGGGCGGCAGCACACCGGGCATCAACTTGGTGTCTGGGCCAAAGGGCAGAGTCAGATGTGTCAAGGACTGAGGCAATGCACCAGGGAGCAGTATCTTGTTGTACAGGCTTTGAAGCTCCAGGCAGTCGATCGAGTCGGGCAATGAGCCCGGTATGATTGTTTGATTGAATTGTGATCCAAGGCCAATTCGTTGTAGATTGCCTGGTAGTGAGCCGGGCAATATCAGCTGATCAAAGGTGTTACTAAAGTCCAGACTTGTCAGTGACTCTGGGAGTGTCCCTTGAGCCAGTGGTCGATCAATATTTGTTGCTATTAATAATTGAGTGAATGATGTTGTTGTTGTTGCTTTTGTTGATGACGTTGATGATGTTGATGATGATAATGATTGATTGATGTTGATGTTGTTGTTGTTGATGTTGATATTGTTTGTATCACCTTTCCAAATACATAATATATCCTTTCCATTATAACATATTGATCGTGATCTTCTCCATAACGAATGTAACCTCTTGCAAGTCAGTCCCAAGCATGCTGAATCAATGATATCAGCATCATGAAGATCTCTAAATATATTCAAAAATATGTAATCAGATAATGTATCCATCTTCTATATATTTATATATATTGTATGTTTATCTGATAATACTACAATGATCATATGACTTGTTCGTTTGGACTCAAAAAGATTCTTGTATTCTTTGAATCTGACATATGCGAAAAACGTACAATAGTCAGATCTGGACTTCACTTCGAGTGTTGATCAGTTGTTCATCAATTCACCAATCATAGAGAAGAAGATGAAGGCACAAGTAATCATTCAAACATGTTTGTTCATTGCATGCCTCTATCACCTTGCCCTTGTTCGAGCTGTAAGTCAATCCATCCTTCCCTTAACTGACCTAACTTACTGACCAATCATTCAATCAATGATGATGATGACGACGACAGGATGCCCCAACAGTGTTCTCATATCTTGGTATGAGCTCCGATAGTCCAAATAACTACTTCTACGTTAGACACAACTTGACAAGTGGAGAAGATATAATTAACCAGCATTCACATAGTTATAATGATATCTCCACGTCGCAGTTCAATTCGGCCACTTCAGACTCTGTCCAATTCTTTCAATTGGATTCAGACGAGACTGACTTTCCAATACTCTGGACCTATTATATCAAAGTATGTATAAATGAATGAATGAGGTGAAGATGTTAACAAGTGAGTCCTCTATCCGCCCCTCCCCATCAGAACGAGAGCATGACTGATACATTAGTTGGCACGGGAAATGACTATGGTTACTCTTATGATCAGGATACACAAGTTCGCATGGTTGGCAAGGATAACATACTTTATGGAATGGGAAAGGATGCCAACCTCACCATTGCAATGTTGAAATACAATTACAAACAACAAGAACTGTATGTGATCAACAGTGTTGTGATACCATCATCATCATCAGCCTCCTCCTAATCATCATGCACTGCACTGCACTCACAACAACAACAACAACAACAATAGTATTTACAAACCTCTGCACACTGAAATGCCGGGCTTCTACGAATGCTTCTATGATCCAGACAGCAATATATTCTATTTGTTGTACTTTAATGGTAGGCAACAGTTCAATATCTGGTTGTTGGATGGCGATGATGCATCGACAATATCATTCCATAATATATAACAGTCAAGGAAGCACTGGCCTGGTCCCTGCAGCCCAATCTCTACTTCACGGTTTACCAGTCAACACCTTATGTTGGCTTTGGAAATTGGCACACTGTTACCAAGGATTGTCAATATTTGTTCAAGATTGACTTGAAGGACAATTTGGCCAATGTCATATTTTCCAAACCAGGTCTTTACGTGCTCACTGGTGGCACTGGCCTTGGCTTTGTGCTCGATGCCATCAATGGATACATGCTGGCTGTGCTCACAAACACGCCCTACACTGAAGGAAACGCCTATTTCTGGATGATCAATCTTAACACATTGGAGATCATCACATACCCCAAGCCATATCCAATGCCAGGTATGAACTACGCCTTCTACTATCTCGAATAAACCTTTGAAGGTCTACTGGTGGACCAAGAAGACAAGACGACATTGAAGTTCCATTTTCAAAATTTGAATTCAAATTGTTGTGGGTGTGTGTAACGGTTGAATTTGAACTGACATCAATTACTCAAGTTTGTTGTTTGATGTGACATCTATTCATTCATTGTTTGAATACAGATATTAACATATTATACAATAGTAGTAGGGAGAAGACATGAAACAAACAACAACATCAGGAATCAGGAAGAAACTACCTCCGCTATCGAGGCATGCTGTTGTGGCGGCAACAACAACAACAACAACAACGCATCACACAATGGACACTCCACCGCCACAACAGCATCAACATCATCAACATACCAATATGATGGTGTCCACACCACCAAGCAACAACAACAATGATATATTATATGACTTTGATGCACCTCTCTTCTATGAGTTCACACCAGTCCACTCTCATCATGATCCCAACAACAGTTCATTCACAGCAACTACTTCAACAACTTTGGAAGGTGATGATATTATGATACCATCAACAACAACAACAATAACAGAATCACCATTGATTAGAAATGAAGAGATCAATCGATATAGAGCAGAACCCTTTGTTGAGGATGAAGAGTTGGAACGACAACTTGACCTTTGGTTCCAACACAAGCATCCATTGCATGAAGATCAACACCCAAGAGATAGCACAGATAGTAATACTTCATCATCATCATCACCCAACTTTACAACAAACAATGACCTAGAATCAGAGTTCTCTCTAATGTTCACAACATCATCAACATCCAACAAATCAACAACAACTTCAACAACACAACAACGTTCAATACGATCCAATACACCACCATTATTACCATCTCGAGTTCAACTGAGTAGTAGTGTACAAACATCAAGGAGCAAGTCAAACAACACAGGTGTCACTACACCGCCACAGTCTAGCCAAACCTACCCAACTCGTCGACGAGGAACATGTATAAATAACAACGTCAAATCAATCAACAACAACAACAACAATAATAAGGAGAATACACATGTCAACATTAGTAATAATATGGATGGTCCATCACCAGCACCACCACCAACATTGGTCAGCAACAACAATATCAAGGTGCTCAAACGTGAACTGGTGGTAGTGGCAGCTCCACAACCATGTTCCACGACAACAGTGGTGGCACCAAAGTCAGCGATACCAACGAAGGAAAACAAGAAAACTAGGACAACATCCAAGAAGTTGGTATTCGATGTAGATGACAATATGATGGCGTTACTAGCTCAACACAACAAGAAGTTCTCAAAGTGCAACTATGAGCCAAGGAAGTTCTCTGTCAAGGAAGTACGAATGGTATGTTTGCTCTAAATTGGCCAATTTGATGATTTGATTGATTTATTAACTAATACATGACACCAAAGTGGGAGCAACACTCTGGAAAGACATGGTACTCATTGTCAATACAAGATAGAGAGATGGCCAATGAATGGATCAAACAAAAGAAGTTGGAAATGGAAGAGACACAACAACAGTAATCCTTGATCTTAATAGTAATAGGATTAACTTTAATATAGATATATATTTATGATGATGATGAATGGAGTTCCGGTACATGGAGTTCGTTATTGTGTCGCGCTCTCATGTCTTGTTTATCTGGATCATGAATGAGACCTCTTGTTGTTCCAACAAACAATCAATTTGATGATCTCACCCATTCAATTCGATTCATGAATCTGAGAAGCTGAGACGATTGATACACGTGATTTGGAAGAAAAGAATAAAAAAGGACATTCTTTGGGGTTTTGACACGTTTTTATCAACTTAACAAAGTATCTTCAGGTGTTTTGAGTTGGTAGGTCCAAAGATCATTCATTCATTCATGTTCCAGATACACATATAGACATATAATATACATATAAAGATAAACAATGTCGACTACTATTGAAGAGGAAAACAACAATGTTGTGTTACCATCTTATGTAACAATCATAGAGAAACTCAATACTGCCATCGATACATTGGATGTCAAGGTCACCGATCCTGACACCTTCAAAATGCCAACACGTCCTCAAGTTGTAAAGGCTGCAAAGACACTATCACATGAGATTACAAAGAGTATGTTAACAACAATCATTCACATGTCATGTTCACGCTCAATCACTCACTCAATCAATCAATCAATCATAGTCACTCTATTACTTCAAGACTCAAGAGCAAAGCCACAGTTCTTCTCAAACATTGAGGAATGCTTGGATAATATGTTCTCAATCTATCAGGGATTATCATCTCATTCGGGTGGCTCATTGTTTAGATCAAGCCAAATATACTTTAGACGCGTGTACAAGTCATTGTTGTCAATCCTGACGGACTTTATGGAGAATGAGAAGAGACTAGGCGACGACGAGGAGAATATACTGCCAAAGGAGAGAGTCGGCACTGCTTGGAAGTCATGCGAGACCTTTGAGAGCATACCATTGAGGAATGCCACAGCCATCGCTGAGAGAATGCGCGAGCTCACCGACTTGATGTACGACGCCTTTGACGAGGTCGACGAGATCAAGGACGCCATCGACAACTACAAGAACAGAGCAGCGGCAGCAGAACAGCAGGGCACTCAGACACAGACATCAAATGGCAAGCCAAGTGCGCAGGCCGAACAGGATGACGACGACGAGGAGGACGAGGAATTGAATGGCGAGGTTGATGATGACGACGCAATAGATGACGAGGAGGATGTGTTCATTGAGGACAACGTCGACAACAACTCATTCAGAATGCTCACCGACGAAGAGATGAGCGCCATCGAGTCCATCCAAGAGCTGTCACACGACAGCTACGACCTGGCAGACAGCTTCGCAACGTATATCACCGACAGAGAGCCAACAGACCCAGCCAAGCTGGAGGACCCAGCCACTGATCTGGACCAAAAGACACTGGCGCTCTACGAGGACTTTGTCAATCAGTTCAACGAACTGTCCAAGATCGTGGACGACGTCGCCAGCGGCATCTATCCACCACAGAACACTCACTTTATCTCTGGAAACATTACCTATCTGCGCGCCAAGCTCAACGAGCTGACAAAGAGGTTCGAGACCGAGTCCATCACCTTCAAGGACTACACACATCATGATCTCATTGCAAAGATGTTGCCATCCATGAAGATCACTGACAACTAAGTTGATCACAAAAGTGGATCACCTTATTCATTCATTCATTCTATCCCTAGACAGACTGCCCTTCTATCCACAATGGCGACACACTTACATCGATTCCTTTCCTTTCAAGCTCCTATCTCCTCCTCCATCTCCTCCACCTCCCTCCTCCTCCCCCCACGCTACGCCGACTGACAACACAAAGGAAACTGCATAAAGGACCCAACAATGACAGTTGAACTCATTCATTATTAGTTAGTTATACATCAATTATTTATTCAATCATTCATTCAATCAATCAACCAATTCAAACAGCGATTGGCATGTCTGTTGGTGCACGCCATGATCCATCTTCATTGCTCGTTGGCAATGGTGACATCATGTCGGCATCATCTGTAATACATGAAGAGGCGGACGAGGCGGCAGAGGCAATCATGTCGACCAAGGCCAGCTCGTGCTGCTTCTCCGATCGGTACTGGATGGTGCTCTGTACCTTGTTGGCATACTCTGTCATCTCACGAGGGTCCTCCATCTCATCCTTCCTGTCCCATGCTGCAAACTGTAGCTTGAAGTGTAGTGACTCGTTGTGTTGACGAACAATCTCCAGCTCCATACTCCTCGATGACTTATGCTCAATCCTCAGATAATCCTTGGCAAACCTTGTCGCTAGTCCACTCAATGACTCAGACACATTAGCGCCAATCCAGAGGAAGAGCTTGGAGCGTGACTCCAACAGTGCGCAAGTACCATCGGTGAGGTCAGTGCAATGATACCTGGGCACCTTGTCCAACTTGAATTTGGCGCCCTCAATATGGAGTCTGAGTAGCTTGTTCCTGTTATAAGACACATTGAACATGTCATTTGTTGATCGTGGTAGTGTGCCAAAGAATGTCTCCTTGTTCTCCCCTGTTGAATTGTTCCTCTGTTGTTTGGTAACTGTCATCTTGTAATCCTGATTGATTAATTGATTGAGGGTTGGTATGAGTGATCAGGATGTTATTGAATATGATTGAGTGATTGTACATACAGGTTCCAAAGTCATGGCATAGACGGAGAATCCACTCTCGGATGAGAAGTTGTAGTATCCTTGGAAGAATGACACCTCATGATTGAGTTGGGACACCTTGCAATAGACTCCATGTGAGTTGATTTGAATGGTGGCATGATCAACTTCTTGGATGTAGGCAATGTCCTCAGGGTACTCATATTCCAACACCTGGTAGTACTTGTCCAACACAGATGACTTGCTGGTCTTGTTGAAAACAGATCCCTTGTTGAGCACGATGATGTTGCCAAAGTGTTGAAGGAATGCTGATGGTTCCTTCCTCTGATGGATGTGATTGAGAGTTGGGACGGGGTACCCAGCCTTCTTGACCATATCCAGAACCTGTGGATACATTCCATGAACAAAGTGTGAGTATCCATTGCGGCTAGAATGAGTTCCCTGCCACCAGTACAAAGACACAGAGCCCTTGGTTGCCTGGTTCTTCTTAACACCACTTCCACTTCCACCGATGAGTGTTGTGACCACTACAAGGTAACAGTCCTCCTCACTGAACTGACCATGTTCACTTGGCTTCAATCGGGTGTAGGTCATCGATGGCCAGGTCTTGAATGCGAACACATTGAGTAGATCAGTCTGGTTCAACATGCTCTGTTGTTGTTGGAACTTGCCACTGCTTGAGTATGTTGGTGATTTGTTGGCTGAATCCTGGCCGGCACACATAGCTATCATTGCTTGATAATCATATTGAAGAGTTGATGATGGGACTGGAGATGGAGCCGAAGAGTTCTGGGCTCGCCAATTGGCAAATTGAAGCTTGAACAGAGGATGCTCATGTCCAGCCAGACAATGTGTGATTCTTGCCCAGGTAGGTCTCTCATACTCGTTGTAGAACATGTTGGCGCACTCCTTTCCAACAGCCCTCTTGCGCCATGACGTTGAACTGGTGTGCCAGACAAATATATCAGTCGTGCAGTCCAGTATGATCACCTCCCTTGTATCCAACATTGACCTCGACAGTGGATACTCTTCAGTGACACTCTCCAAGTCCATCTTTCCATTGGCCCTCACAACTGTCTTGTACAAATTGACCATCGAGTCCTCCTCATCAAAAGATGGGTCAGCACCAGCACTCTTGTTTCGATGATCCTCTATGAATCTACATGAGTTTGAATTTGAGTTAGAAATGATAGAGTGATTGATTGGTTGATGATCATGGACATACTTGAAGAACTCCTTGTCTTGCTCTGAACTGGTGACCTCGATTATTGGAGTGTTGCCTGTTGCGTAGTATGATTGGTACTCTTTGGCCACCTCCTTGGCAATCCTCCTCGTCTGAATACTGGCCTGTGGACCATGCTTGATATATATTGCCATATTATTCTCCAACACATATGATACATTTGATCGACCACCAGTAGCTTGTTTGATCGTCTTTGATGCCAACTCCACTCTCTTGATCACTGGTGAATGATCGCCTTGACCCACAACATTACAGATCTGTAGAAGTGATGTCGATGAAGCTACCCTGCCAGGAGAAGTCTTTCTGAAGTTGGACTTGGATGGACTGGACTTATACCTGATCTCCTTGAACTCTGAGATAAAGTAACTCTTCATCAGTATACTCTCCTCACCCTGGCACTCTGTATGAAGTATAGGATGACCACCAATATGTGACGCCAACTGTAAAGCCATCATTGCAGCGGTACCAGTCTTATCCATCGTGGCATCCTTTCCAATCCACACATGAATATGAGTTGTAGTAGGTTGTTTCTGTTGCTGGATTAATAATATGTTAGAATAAGTACATTTGATTGATTGATTGATTGGATTTTAGTTGAGTTGAGATACATACTTTGATAAAGTTCATTATAATGTATGAATCACCAGAGTGAAAAATAGGGTAGTCGTTGAACTCGCGCTCTTTGACCGTGAATGACATCACTTTCCACATAATAAAGTCGGTAAGATCCTCAACCTCACCAAACACCATTGAGTAATTGATTGATGGTCTGTTGAATATAATATTGCTATGTTTGGCTGCTGATGGCCATTGTCTTGCCACCTCTATCACTTGCTGCTGGTCCTCCTGATCATCATCCTGATACTCCTGATCGTCTGCCAACTCCAGTGTAGTCAAATTCTTTGTTGAGTTGTTATTATTGTTTACAAATACAGATATTGAGTTTGGTGAATTATTTATATTGTTGTTATTGTTGTTGATGTTGTTTTTAATGTATGATGCTCTGGAATCGAGAAGTTTCTTAATAATTATATTTCCATCTGATATAACTTTGTTGGAAAACAACTTTGATTTGATTGATGATGATGAAGTTGATGATCGTTTGGTTTGGATAATATTTGGAATGATTGATAATAAGCTATTGTTGTGGATTGATTTTTGTTGTATCTGTTGATCATTGACAACATATGTTTGATTGAGTGACCTTGTGAGGTTATTAACGATGGTTTGATGAAGTGATTGATGTGGAAATGACATTTCTTGTATGTTTTTGGAATAAACTGGTATAACTTGGAATAAATTGGAATAAACTGGAACTATTATGATTATTATTATTATTATTTACTTGATTGATTGATATTTAGAAGTTTGTACTACTACAATAGAGACTCCTAGAGTTGATTAAATATGAATTGAGAGAATGTATGAGGTTACTCTTGTGTAGGTGCAATAGCAGTCTAATATACATACATAGGTTGCCATTGTCAACAAATAGCTGTTATGTACATTGGTCAACAGTGTCCATCTACACTTCCAATTCACTATTGTCTGTGTTTGTTTGTACGAGTGTGTATGATTGTGATTGTGTGTGTGAGTGTGGGTGGGTGTGTTGTGGAGTGTGTTGATCATACACCTTACCACACTGCCGATTTCCAATGTCTGATCAGAGGATCAATCATGAGTGTGAATGTATGTGTATGTGAAGTATTATGATTGAACAGACTCACTCGTTCGTTAGACGTACATACATAGTCGATATACGTTTGATAATCTGCCCACAAGTCGTTATTCACAATGATTGATGTAGAGGTAAGGGGTGTATAAGGTGAAGATGGCTCGACCAAATGTAAGAAGACAACAATTGCAACATGTTGTATGAAGTAACTCTACATCTTATGGTTCAAGTCTAGGCTATTGTTAGAACTCACTTACTTAGTTAGGGTAGCCTCCTTCACCTTCTATTCTTCAATCACTCACCACCACTCCAACTTCATTCAACCATTACTTGATATGTCTATATCTAGCTAAGGATAGAAAATGGACATTTCTTGAAATTGATACCCTTTCTATCTCTCCAACCATGTGCCAAACTTGTAAAGTTATCAAGATTCCTTTCAATAATATAATGAATTGATCACGTCCATATTTAATCAATCAATCATCCACTTTCAAACTATCTTGAAGCTCGAATATCCTGTCGACTACGTCTGTTGCAAGTTCGATGTGGCAACAGACAATCTGACTGGCACGTTGAATCTCTGCGCTGTCCATGCTGTCCACTCCAAGTTTGGACACACCCTTGAGTGCCTTCTTGATGGCTGCCTGGTCGCCACTGGCACTGCTCGCAAACTCCTGCTTTATCTTGCCCAGCTCAGCCTTGAGTGGCAACAGGAACGACTCCTTGGCGCCAGCGATCTTGGACTTGGCCCAGACGCCGGTAGAGTTGCTGTCCTTGTCACGGATCAATAGGTAGCGGTAGAGGTTGAGCGCGTTCATGATCGAGTCCATGCGCTCCAGCAGGTTGCCGCCAACCTGCATTGGAATGTAAAGTATCTCGAGGATCTTGGGCGAGACAAAGTAGTTGCGCAGGTCCGTGTCGGTCGTGAGCCAGCAGGCATCGATCTGCTCCTTGAAGATGTGAATCAGCAGGCCGGTGAACGAGGGGAATGCGCAATGGCGTATGAGTGTGGCCAGCAGATTGAAGCGGGTCTGTGCCGACAGCGTGGCCATTGACAGTGTCAGCTGATTGAATGCAAACGAGCGGATCTTTTGCACAGGGCACTTGACCAAGAACGACACCATCGATTGGAACAGTTGCAAGAAGTGATGACAATCCTCGACCATTGTTGGAGGTGTGTCTATCAGCCACTTCTCGCGTGGTGATGTAGCGTCCCCATGCTGCTCGGCGCCCTCACCAGATGACAAGTACTCCTGTGGTATATCAATACCACATGGCTTGATACGCTTATGTAAGAATGATATGATTTGAATGGCTTTGAATCCAGCTCGATATGATTCGCTAAGTCATGTGAGAGAGTGAGTGCGTCAGTCGTGATTGAACGAGTGAGTGGGCGAGGACTGTGGCGCCACGTGCTTACCTCTGTAACAATGCAATGAGATAGGGTAGGTTATCCTTGAGCAGTGAGACTGGCGATAGGATTGATGAGAGTCGGTAGTTTTCCGTCGGTCGCAACAATAGATTGTACAATATATATCCAATTCCTGTGTAAGGTAGTTCGAGATCCCACATCATCTCCTCTACGTTGTCCAAGTCATCCTCATCATCTTCATAGTCTTCATCGTCATCCTCCTCATCCTCATCATCACTTGAAGTTGCAACTGTTGACTTGGACCTACTACTCGATTGTTGAGTCTTTGGTTGTTGCTCTTCGCCAGGCTCAATCAAGTCCTCCTCATCCAAACCCTGATCGAAATACATGTCCTCCAACTCCAACTCTCTTCTCTTCTCCCTGAAGCGTTGATCCGTCTTTAACAGATAGCTGAATGATACACCAAGTTGTGCCAGCATGTCCTGTATTGAGGTGAGTGATGGGGGAAGGTTAGAATAGTCCGTCCACGCCACGCCATGCCACGCCAGGTCAAACTCTCGATCGGATAACATACACTTATGGTAACAAAGATTGGCAGTCCATTGAATAGGAGTGGCTGGGGCGGATTGAGTACAATGTCAGTGCTGACTAGTTGTATCAGTGTTTGGAGGATGAGATGTTGCTGCTTGGTAATCTCTGATGGCGTGGCATTGTTGGCCTGTGCTTCGATGGGCTCCTGGATCTTCAGGTCGGCAATGAAGCCCTCAAAGAACGCTATAATACAAGAGAGTGGATACTCCCATTTAAGATCGTTTGGTGTGTTCCTCTGTTGAAGCTCCTCCTCATTGGCTTGTCCAACGATGTTCACACCTGATGGGGTCTGAGTCTGGGCCTGGCCATCATCATCACCATCTTCGTCATCAGCATCACTACTAGTTGATAAGCTTGCCAATGATTTCAAAGCCTGTGCATCTTGGGCAGCCGCAGCGGCAGTCTGTTGCTTCTTTGACTCGTCCTGCACAACAGACAGCACCAACGGTAACAATGACTTCATAAAGTTATATCTCTTCTCCACCGATATCCTTGTGAGCGCTACAGCATGGGATGGGAAGGGATGGGATCAGTAAACTTGCGCCGGTAAGGTAGGGCAAGGTCAAGGGTAAGGGTAGGCTTACCATTCTCAATCAATGAGATCAAGGTCATTTTGGTGAAGAAGGAGACTTCAAAGAATGATGATGAGTGTAGCTCCTCGACCACAAGCAGGAACTCCCTTGCGCTGCCATTCAATGATATCCAACCTAGTATCTGTGCAATGTAACATGTCAGTGATTGATCACAGGTCACTCATTCATTCACTCCCTGACATATGTACATACCTTTAGTATTACAGAGCAGACAGGGTTGATGTGATTGGGTGTGAGCATGCTCCAATCACTGGAGGACGAACCAAGTGCTACGATCAGGGAATGTACCAACTCCCAATATACATCGTCGAATGATTGATGGAGTACGCCATCGTCGTCAACAATCATGTCATGAAGATTGTTGTAGAATGCCTCCTCATCCTTGACTTGTGATGATAAACGATCCAGAGTAGGCTGGTCCAACAGCGCACTAACTACACCAAGCAATTTCATTGTATCTGTTTTATCTTGGCCTTCTACTTCTTGGGTATCATCAATGATCATGTTGTTGTTGTTGTTATTGCTACGTGGTGTAATGTTGTTGTTGTTTGATTGACCTACAACATCATTGTCTGATGCTGAACTATCATCATCTGTCAAGTAATCATCACCATCATCATTATCTGTTGTTGGTTGTGTTGATGTTGATGTAGATGTAGATGATGTTGTTTGCCTATGTTGTTGTGCGTTGCTCATTGCTTGCCGGTTCATTGCGACCAATCAAGCTAGGATGGATGTCAATTAGTCAGTCTTCTTTCTAGATGGTTGATGTGTGTTTGAAGATCTTCACAATGACCATCTTCCATCTCTCTGACACTTTGCCAACCCTCACATCCCTTTCATTCTCTCCCTCACACACATATTCTCATTTAAATCTAGCCCACAACAACAAAGACTCATGCAAGCAAAGGTACCCGTTATCGAATTAGACCGGCGAATTCACAGTCCTGTGTGGCCTAAAAATGGCGATCAAAGTATCATAGGGGCACTCCCTCGCCCACTCAAAGAGAGTGAATATCTTTATCTGAATGACAAGTTCCGAAAAAATGTGTGTTTTGCAACATACTTGAGGTTATAAAAGTCTCCATGTTGGACCAATCATCAAAAAAAACAAGCATTGCAACAACAACACAATAACAACTTGATTTTGTAAATAATAATTATCAATCACATCAACCACATCAACACACACAAACACACACACTTTTGCGTTCCGCTCTCTCCTCCCTTCCGCTCCATCATCAATCAAATCAAACAATCCTCTACCTCCACACTCCCCATCCATTATCGATTTAAATCACATCCATTCAACAACAACTAGATAGATATATATATAAACTACCCATCATCATTGTATTCCTTCCCCATCTTCCTTCCTTACTTCCTACCTACCTTCCTTTCCTTCCACTTCCCAACAAACTCACACACACACTTCATCAACAATCAACAACTACTAAACACAACACAACCCCAATTGTTTCAAACAACAACAACACAACAGTTTGGGCTATTATTTGTAAATAATATATATATACATACACATACATATACTTTATCTCTACCTACCCTACAGATAAAGGTTAACATTACACCAATCCACACCAACCATTCGATTTTTTGAACAGCTATAACCGGTGTCAATCTATCTTTCCGTTCATCATCATCAATTAATCAATCAATCATTCAATCAATCAATCACTTCACTACGACGACGAACTAAGACGCCAGCATCTAACAACACCCAATTATAACTACAATCAACAGCTCAGCGCACTCACTCACTCACTCCCTCCACCTGACAATCAATCACTCACTCTTACTTTGTGATCATATTGTCTCTCCCAATCTAAATATATTATATTAATAATATTATTATACAACTACAAATACAACTATAAATGTCTGACGGTGCTGCTTCATCTCCCGCCAAGTCCAAGACTGCCGGCGCTCACAGCAACAATCTTAAGATATGTGTTCTTGGTGATGGTGGTGTAGGAAAGGTAAGTCATCTTTGGTCCCGCAGCACAGTAGCATCACCAACTTAGTTATCTGACACCGACACATCACTCTTTAGACTTCCCTCACTATTCAACTGTGCTCCAACCACTTTGTAGAGTACTACGACCCAACTATCGAGGACAGCTATAGAAAGCAAGTGGTCATCGATGAGGAGGCTTGCATTCTGGACATTTTGGATACCGCTGGCCAAGAAGAGCTCACCGCCATGCGTGACCAATGGATCCGTTCATGCGAGGGTTTCATCATTGTCTACAACATAACGAGCAGATCGTCGTTCGATCAGGTCACCCTGTTCAAGGAGCAGGTGTCCCGTGTGCTCGACAAGGAGTCCGTGCCAATTATGCTGGTCGGAAACAAGTGCGACCTGGAGCATCTGCGTGAGGTCACTCTGGAGGAGGGCAAGGACCTGGCCAAGTGTCTGGGCATGCTCCATCTGGAAGCTTCCGCCCGCACCCGTCACAACGTCGAGGAGTCCTTCTATGAGCTGGTCCGCGAGATGCGTCGTCGCGAGCGTGGCGCCAAGGCCGCCGGCAACAAGGACGATGGCCACAAGAAGAGCAAGTTCAAGTCGATGATGTCCAGCTCCTCCAAGAAGCTGAACAACTTCAAGACCAAGACGATGACCAAGGTCGAGAATATCTCCTTCTGCAAGACCATGTAAACCTTAGCATGGCCTATGCGTCGAGCATCGAGATAGTTTAGTTATATACCATAGTACCCAACCCAACCAACCAACCAACCATCCACATCCACTCAATCATTCTTGCTCAACACTTGTTGCGTCGCATCCTCCTACACCTACTCTCCAATGTTTTCCCAAGTCATCGTCCGACTACGAGATGGTGGCCGTTCCGCTCCCCAGCTTCCCCCGCTCCCCCATCATTCCAACCTCTACTACAACCTCCGCCGCGGCTCATCAATGCCAACCAACAACCAAACCTGTACTGTAATAATCGGAATGCATTTGTATAATTCTACTCCATAATAAACCCAATGGTTGTTGTATTTCCCCAAGAACATCTCTCTTGTTATCCTTGTTGATTGATTGATTATTTGAATTCCTTCATTCAATCATTTATTCCAATCCTAATACCCTACATCCAGATGATAAAGTTGTAGATCAAGGAATAAACCTGACCAGTTTAAAAATTAATTTAATAAACAAATAATTAGTCATTTATCAATGGACATTGGGAATTAAAATTATAACTTCCAGATCAGATCAGGTTGCATCTAGATGAACTGGCACTGCCAAATTCATTATAAATACAACTTATTCATTCAGTCTAATTTCCATTCATAACATAAATATACATTTATATCATAATATATATAATATTTTGAGTAAGTACAATGTAGGGAAACAATGGTCATTCTCTTGTTAACAAATAAATACTAATCTTTACCAAAGTCAATGATGTATATGATAGATTCAACATTGACACCTTGTGGGCACAGCGAGGATACTGATCAAATTTAACTTAATAAAGCCAAAGTGCCTTTAATAAAAGTACTTACAGCTTAGTTCTGTTATACTCCCATAGATTATTTGCTATTCCCACTGTGTTTCTACCCATGTACTTAGAGCAGGCCTTCTTACATCCCCGCCCTGACCTCAAATTAGAACAATGGAGTCCATCCTATGTGCTTGTGTGCCCTCTGTCGCCATCTTGAACAACAACCCATGTTCCAGATCACCTTTCCCTCCAAGCTAACCAACTCGTACAACAACACCGAGGGAACTACCTCTCCAATCCAGGTCCAACCTCGATCGCCACCAACATGTCAACCACCCTTTYCCTACCTTTGGTGGCACCCGAATTGTGGATAGCGTGATGAAAGAGTTTGCCGTTTGATTCAATCAATAGATCTCCCAACCATAAAGCTTGGTCAACATTGGAAACCAATCAACAAATAGGCCGACCTTAAAAAATTAATCTATTAATAAATAACACTCAATCAATCAATCGACCACCATCTGGTCATGGGTGTATTTTCCAATGTTTATAGATAATGTTTATTAACTGTTTGTACAGGTACAGGGATATATACAGTAGGGATGGATAAATAAATAGAGAGTAATATAAATATATATATTATGTATGTGTAGGTAGGGCTGCGGAGGATGGTTGGCGAGGAAGTGTAAAGGGTAGGGGTTGGTATGTATATATATATATGTATAAGGAGGGCGGTCGATCGATCAATCACTTCAATCACTTGGACTTTAACTTTAGTTTCTTTTCCAGTGTTGTTCGCAATGAGGATATCTCCCTCCTCTCGTGAGCCATGACAATAGTCTTCTCACCTGTGTACCTGTCTAACTTGCCTGCTCTTTTAAGCTCAAGTATCCTATATGATTGATTGAATGTTAGTTACTGGATTGATAGTATTTGTAGTTGTAATGATGTTGCTATGACTTACTTCTTCTTCCTACTAATCTCATCCTTCTTCCATTTCTCGACAACTATTCCTTCGTTCTTGGCACCGACTTTGGAGTTGATCTTGGTGTTCAACCAGAGTTCTAATAATACAGGTTGCAGTAAATTTACAATGTCCACCAACTCGTTCGACTCCTCAACGGTCAGGTCTCTGATCTGTTTCAAGGCCGTGTTCAAAGTGTTCCAAATGCTCCATGTGATGTCGCCCAGTATTCTGGAGTTCAATGTACCATCCACTCCATGTGAAGCTTGGAAACCAATGTCCTTCTACAAGTATTTGATCAATAATTAGTTAGTAATCATATGATGTAGGACTGATTGATCGATCAAACAAACATACCATTCTCGATGTAATGCCCTTTGAATATTTCTGACCCTTGAACGTTTCATAGAATTGACTCCAGGTGATTCGGTTGATGTTCTTGTTGAGAATGATGATGTCGTCGAATGATGTATTCTCTAGTCTCAGGCTATGCTTGATCTCGGTGTCTTCCGATGGACGATCACTAAAGTTGAGTGCCTCGTGCAATGAAGATGTAGAAGAGGAAGAGGATGATGAAGAAGAGGATGATGTCGACGATGATGGTGATGATGACAAGGAATCCTCATCATGCACTGCGCTACTATCTATCCAACCATCCTCGGGCAACTCCTCAGACTCGTATCCATTGAGACCCAGTATCTCATCGTGGAAGAATCTATCCTTGATATATTTGAGCCATTGTGATTCCATTGTGTTGATCACTGTAGAGATGACGGCAGACCTCTTGTTGGAGTCCAGAGGAGACCTCAGCTCATCAAGTTGCTCATCGGAGAGTGGCTTCAAAATGTCGTTGGCGCGGCGGATAAAAGTTGGCTTCATCTTGAGGTTGGAGGCAGTCTTCTTTAGATTATTCAGTTCACCCAGTACCTTTTCGCTCTCGAGTTGGTTCTGCTTGAGAATGAACTCCTCGGTCGTCGACAGAACCCATTCCCACTCCTTCCACAGCTCCTTCTCCTTCTCTTTGTACTCCTCCTCGTCGAAATGCTTCTCCTCGATGCCTCTCAACCAGTTGGTAAGAGAGAACAGTATACTGAGTACGTCTGAGCTCCAATGTAAATCGTCCCTGTGGTGACTGGATATCTTTGTAATCTGTGTATCCGATACTGTGTCCGATGGGTCGGTCGATACTAGACCAGTTGGAATCAAATTGTTCATCGTCTCTATCATTATTTCGGAGTTTGCGGTCTCCATTCTAATATTAAAATTATTATTATTCTCCTCCTTCTTCACTATATTTAAATTATTTGTTGTTGTCGTTGTCGTGGTCAATGTTGATGATGTTACTTCTGTTGTTGCCGCTGCTATTGATGTTGTTATTCCTGTTTTTGACTTATAATGATGTTGACTTCTGATCGAAACTATTTAATTCGGTGTGGTTGTAATTTTAATTGTAATAATAGTAGGTGTAAATAATAAAGTTCGGAATTATAGAGTATTGATCTCTAATATGTGTGCGATGATTGTTGGTAATAATATTGTCGGACAGCAACTAATGCGTATGTGAATGATGATGTGTATTACTATTTACAAAACTATATACAATTGTAGTAATGATGATTGATTGATTGGTGATTGGTTGATGATCTGTTTGTTGTATTTACAACATAATAAATTCGTTATTCTTCTTGTGATAATATTATTATTATTATTATAAGTATAATTATTATTATCTGTATTTGTAATGGTGGTGGTAGCTAAATGAACAATGAATAGAGTATTTGTTGTAATATATGTATGTCTGTGTTTCAAAGGAACGTTGAGAAGATGAGACGTGGAATGCGAAGATCAATTAATTTCAAATGCGTAGAATAACCACAAAGGAGGATCGCACACAAACAAACGAAACCAAACACTTTGCTTCACACACGTGGTTATGTTGGTTGTTGTTGGCCTGGGGGAAAAGAAGTGTTGAGTGTGGGGTGCAGCAATGCTATGCAATTGAAGTATTGGAGTTCAATAATAATATAATATTATTTATAAATAATAATGATGTTTATATATAAATATAAAAAGAGAAGAGAAGAGTGATAGTTGTTGTGTTGTTGGATATACTAGTGGTGTGATGTTATGTTAACAACACAGTGACAAACAAGGCAAAGTGCGCAGATGGTGAGAAGATGCGAAGCAGCCAACAGCAACAGTATTAGCGCTAATGTTATCTGTTCTCAATAATAGGAGAGATGAGGAACAAGAGGAGGATGAAGCTGTGTTGTTGTTGCAACAACAGGTAAAGTGTGATGACATGTGAGTGGTGTGACTACATATAGGCACACATTCACCCCATTCATTACCCCCACAACTCTCCGTGTGTCGACACTCGGGTGGTTGTTGTTCAACAGTTGTGTTATGTGTTTATGTGTGTGTATGTATATGTTTGTTATTCATTCACCCCTGGGCTGAAGTGGGGTGGGGGTGCGTTTGTACATATTTATATGTGTGTGAACGAGACAAGACAAGTGAAGACGAGACAGACAAGTGATTGGGGGGGACGAGTCCATCAATCAGTGGTTGACTTACACTTTATCACATAGACACACAATCAAAGATGGGAGTGGAGAGATAGAGAGTGGTGGCTGTTGCATCAGATGTAGCGATTTATAGGTGTGAAAGTTGGCAATAGTCTCTGGACTCGAATGGAAGGATGATGATGATCATCGGAAGGGTGGTAACGGTTGGTTGATTAAAAGTGGATGTAGTGATGCAATTGTTGTTGGGAAGCGCAATGTTGATCAAATTTGTAAATAATCCAATGGAAAGATGGATTGATTGATTGGATTGATGGATTGTCAATCCTTAAGATCCGTCGGTGTATCTTTGATTTGATTGATTGATTGCTGCCGTCGAAGATTGCGTCGTCGTTGTTGTGATGTCCAATTGATGTGCTGGAACTAAATATGGTAACTTTGGATGGTCGATCATTCCTAATCCCATCAATATAAAACAAGTGTTATGTGTCCATATCATCACATGATGAAGTCACACCAAAAAATAAGAATATTCAATCGATAAATGGGGATGATTGAAGATCCAGAAAGGCTGTCCGATATACAATTTATAGATGATCTGGATTTCCGACATCGATGCTTTGTGATACAGATTAAGTATTGTGAACCTACTGTTTGTAATATCCAAACCCTGGTCGAGTAAATGTTGGTGTATGGATGTTGTTGAAGTTGACAAGGAAGTGGAGGAGGTGGAGGACTGTTCTTTGCAATCTAGAAAGTCCGTCATCCAATTTAAAAAAAATATTGTCAACCTGGATAGGACTGATTGTTTATGTATTTAAAAATATGATTATATATATATGTATAAATGTATAATGGTAACCAATTGAAAATATAAGGTATGAATGTATTTAAATGTCAATGTTACATCAACAAACATGATCAAAAGGATGGATGGATGGATTGGATGGATGAGTGATATGATGATGAAGTTAAACAACAATGGAGGATGTTTGGCGCTGAAGGGTGGAGGTGAAATAGGGTGGGAAGTGCACAACACAACTTACATCTTCAAATATGTTCCAAGCTGCTAGTTCACTTGAGTTAGATATGCCGTGGAGTTGTCACGTGTTGTTGTTTGTTGATGTAATAATATTATTTATTATATGTATGTATGAATGTATTTATATATATATATGTGTGTGTTTGACTCTCAACTAACTCAATTGGGTATAAATAGATAGGTTTAAATGACGATCAAAAGCGTGTTGTTCCAATGGCCGCCTAACCCATTATCACTATCACCTCTCACTTCGTAACACTCGGGTTCACTTCACATGCTAGATCACAACATGTTGTTCACATCTAAGGGGGGGGGGGGGGGGGGTTCGCTATGCTTTGAGATCTCAAACTTAGAGTTGTTGCAATGCATTGATGTGGTTTCACCCACGGACACACCATAATATAACATTCAAAGTAGAGAAGTCTAAAT